CCCCCCATGTTTAATTAGGTCCATGATATAGATTGGCGCTAATTAAAGTGTCAAAAGGGCATGAATAGTTGCTTATTTTATCTCTTTGAATTAAAAACCATTAAAAATCAATTTGAGGGCATGTTGAAGGAGGCTTGTTATTAGAGTAAATTAACATAATGGAATTTAAGCCTTTGTCTTCTAAGGGTTGGTTAATGTTTAAAAAGAAAGCCAAATTCTACACCTAAAATAAACCCCCCAGTTGGTATGCTAGGAATTTAAATAAATCTGAGCATATTTAGTTAGATGACATAGAATAGTTACTTCATCACCTTTGGTGTTTCTGATACGACTCAGCTATCTTCTGGAAGAGTAACTTTCTCTTTTCCGGACTTAAAATTGATTCCTGATTTCAGGTGGCATTTAAAAAGTTACCAGCTTGCCAAAGGACAGGACAGATCTGGGAGCATCCTCTCAGAACCAAAGCTGTATTAGAGTTCTTAATCTGGTATTAGGTCCCCTAATTCCCACTACTTAAGGTAGTATTTTGTTTATCAACTTTATAGTCTTAACTCCTTTAATTAGCAATTATGAAGTAAATCTTACCCAATACATAAAGGTGCTGGTTTTTTTCAGAGACTATCATTAAAAAGATTAGCTGGTGAGAAGAAGATGAGAATGGTGATGAAGAGTGAGAAAAGATTAGCCTATCTTTATGTAATACCTGAAACAGCTTTCAGTGTTGAGCTGATGATAAAACACAAGGCTTGTGCAGGGGCAGTGTTTTATTTTGGCAGTGCTGTTTGTGTTTACAGAGAAGAGGGATGGTGCTGCTTTGAGACAGCTCCTGCATCCCGTGACTGGGCCCGGTGAGCCAGCTCAGAGCACATCTGAGCTCGCAGATGGAATAAGGAGCTGAGTTCAGGATTTGCAATTGTGTTATGAGCACAAGAAATACGCTTCAAAATATATCTACAGAAAAGGAACAGATGTCTTTGTCCTTTTAATAAGTTTCCTTCTGGATCATGTAATAATTTAGAATATTTTTTTTATTTGCATCCTGTACATTTTTCCTCTGGAGACAAAGAGTCAGAAAGCAAATTTATTTATTTTAATTGATGCTGTTCCTTGAGTATTATTGGTGCTGAGAACCCACTGGCTCAGCCTGTGGTAGCTCACTGTCAGCAAACTCAGTTCTGCTGTGGGATTGAAGGTGGTCAATATTTGCTGTTTTCAAATCCATGCCCACATTGCTTGTGTGACTTGGCTGCTGAGTGGTGCATAGACTGAGAAGGCAAAGGAGAGGGTTCCTGCTGTAATAAATTAATAGATTTTGTTAAAAGACTGAGTTTTGCTTTGCTCTTCATGGGTTTTTTTGGCTTGTCAAATGGAATTTTTATTTTACACTAAGACGCTAAGAAAATGAGTAGCTACCAAGGAAGGATGTGGGAGTTGACTGTGCAGAGGACTTAGCAATGCATGAATTAAGCAAAACCCCACATCTGCTTCAAAAATAGGAATAAACAGTCAAAAATGGATACAGAAATTTGCAGCAAATGAATAATTTTCATTATCTCTGACTTGTACGATGGAGTTTTGATGCTGGGAAAGTAAGACAGACATGAGCATTCAAACAGGTGTACTGATGTACTTGGATTCAAAATCTTCCTAATTTATGATTTGGCAAAACAATATTCCTTTGTGTTGTGGAGTTGAATTCCCTGAACTTTCCAACATCCTGCAGTTTATTTAGTGCCCTGTCCTGGGTGCCAAGAGGAGAAATTGCAATTGTCCTACACTGTTTCACACCCATGAATCAAGAGCTCCCTGACCTGCTGAGGCAGCAGTCTCCTTAACCTTGCTAAATGTCAGAGAAAGAAGTATGAAATCCTATCTGTGTCATTTTGCAGAGAAATTTGAAGGTCAAACAAATTGTAGGCCCGTTGGGAAATAAAAAAACCTGTTTCTCACAGCTCAGTTTGAGGAGCTGCAGCATGATGGCTTTGGGAGAGGTGGCTGCTTTGAATTTTCACTTGCAGCCTCAGGGAGCTGTTGGGAGCTGGGGCTTGATCTTCTCTGAGATGTGAAGGTGTGCCAGTCCAGGGGGCTCTGAACTGGTAGAACTGGGCACCTTGTGGTCACACCCAGCTGCACTCAGTGGTCACCAGCAGGAACCTGAGATCTGTGCTTCCAGGCTGGAGGGAGTTGGTGATGGATGTGGGGATAAACATGAAAAATATGTGCATTGGCATATGGGAGAGGGCTTTTCATTTATCTTCCAGATGCTTTGTAGATGGAAGAGTAAAAAAATGTGTCCTCAACTAATACATGCCTGTGGCAAGATGGTGTCTTCATGAAAATTTAGCAGGAGAAATATGCCAAGAAAATATCTAAGAGTAGGATTAAAAGAAACTGAAAAACTCTAAGAACGCTAACCTGGAATTGGTGTAAATGAAGATCAGGTGTTAGTAACAACATCACTGAGAATACTGGTTTTTTTCCCAGCCTAATCAAATATTTAAGTAGAAGGTGCCTCTGATTTTATTTTTTTCCCTTGTGATATGTAGGTAGGTGTTAAACTGAGCTATCTGGAGCTAAATCTAGTGAGAATAAGTAAAAGAAATGGGCTCCAGACTTGAAGGGCTGTGCCTGGCATGATTGTTCCTGCTGCAGATTGCTCTTCCAGCTTGATCCCAGCTGGAGGCTGTGTTTGCCTTTGGGCAGCATCTCTGCAGAGGCAAAACCCAACTGCTTTAAGTAACACTTCCTTTGAGTGATGGGCTCAGAATGTGTGTGAGATACAGGCTCTTTTTATTAGATTTGATGGCTGTGCCAGCGTTATTCCTGTGTTGTACCTCTAAAGAGCCATAGATCATTGTTGCAAATGTGGTTCGTAGATGAAGTGGTTTGTGTTTTATGTTCCACTGCAAACTGGCAGCAGGGTCAGACAATTTTACCAGAAGAGGTAAATTATATGCTTTCATAGCTCAGAGAGAGAGATCACACCACATACATTTTTGTGGTTAATGTCCACTTTGGGGATAAAATTAATTTTTCATGCGTGTTTTGAGGAGGCAGAATTGAAACTCTTAGCATTTTAATGTCATTGGGGGATTGTCTCAGCCTCTAGCTATGTTAAATGGGACTAATAATTTCAGCTAATCAGTGTCTAACAACTTCTGAAAAATGGAAACTAGTTTAGGAGTGATGTAAAGAGAAGTTTTCCACATTAGTGGAATGTTGGGCAAATGCTAATGAACTTTGTACAGTTTCCACTTGTGTTTGGCGAGAGGGTCTCCTGAGGTCAGGACAGAAAGTTAATAGTAATGAGTCCCACGCTGAACCAAATTGGGAAAGCCTGTATATGTTTCTAACTTTCAAAGCAGGGCTACAGATGTCATGTGAAACATGAGTCACTGAGTTTGTTTAAAATTTTTTTATATTAGATTTTTGTTCGAGAAGTGTTACAGAAGACAACTTTGCAGCTGAAAGTAACTCCAGAAATAGCGAGGGATGCTGTGGAACTTCAGGCTGATATTTAGTAAGGCTTTAAAGGGTAGTTTTTATCCACTTGAGACAATATTGGCAGCAAGAGGCCTTTAGATCTCTACATGGCTTCATCATGGGTAAAACTTTTAAAATAAGAGAGCGGCTTTTATTTTCATCAATAGTTTGCTTTTTTTTTTTATTCACATTTATTTCATAAATCTCCTGCTGCTGGGCCAAATCCTACCTCAATGTATCATGTGAATCCATTCTTCTAATATTTTTCTCTAAAGGAACCTTTCATCTTTGTTACTCTTGGGACTGATCTGTGATTAAAAGTCCTCAAAAAAAAAAAAAAAAATACTTGACAAGAGGACCAAGAGCTTCAGAAAGAAAAGTGGAAGAGACCCTGTGTGCTCCCCCTTTAGAATCCATGGCCCTCCTAATCCAGCTCAGACTTTGGGAAGGGCCTTTCTAGTTAGACTGGGAAAACAAACACAGCAAAACTTGCCATGGGTTACTCAAAGCTCAGTTCCAGAGCTACTTTATTGTTGTGAGCTGCTCATTCACAGTTTCTGTGTGTCACACTGTCTTAAGGTTGCTCTTTCTGTGAGTTTCATTTGAGTTTGGTCTTTTTAAATGCACCTTTAGGCATGAAGTGAGCATTTTGTTGAGCATGAAACCCATTGCTTTCCTTCATCTGCACATAATCATTGGATAAATAGTTAATTGTTTGTTTACATCCTGGGAGAAAATGGTTCTAATGATTCTAATCAAACCACCAGGCCACTTAGCACAACCAGGAACCTTGCAGGGCATTGGATTCTGGTGTTAACCTTTGAGCTCCAAGACACTTTCATACAATAAAAAATTGTCTTTAACATCCTTCAATGCCCTTTAGTGCTCAAAATGAGGTTTTAGCAAGCATTGATAGGGGTCTGTGGTTGGGGGCGTGTTTTGTTTCTTAATTGGGTAATTCAAAGTGAGATGATAAATAGCTTGGGAAGGGTTTTTTGTATGATCTATCAACCTGAGTAATGTGCATACACCTGGATGCCCATACATAATCCAAGGTGCCTTTTAGTGCTATTGCTCCAGGCTTTTTAATCTTGGGAATTTCAGTCAACCCCAAAATCAGTGGCTGTTCCTTTTTCTGTGTGTGATTTAATTATAAGTATTGTCATGGCCATTAGCCATAATCCTCCACTGTTGGACTGTCCTGAGGACTTTGGCCTTTGTTTCATCCCTAATGAATCTGTTTTATGTTGCATGTGTTTTCCTGAGTTACAGTAAAATAAATATGGTGTTTTTCACATCAGCAGCTTACCTGGAGATCAGACAAAGGCAGTTTTGTGTTTTTTAGCAACACCTCCATAGGCCTTGCAGCAGCCAGTGCTGTAACATGAATGTGCTCCAAGTCAATAAGTGCTGGAACAAACTTCTATGGTGGATAAAATCAAATATAATCAGTTCTTACCAGCTTTCTTTTAAGTGGAACGTAGTGATACATTAATACTTTGGTTTTTTTGGCACAGGGTTCCAGATTTTGTGAGGGAGAAGCGCTTTGGGAACTGGCTGAAGGATGCCCGAGACTGGGCCATCTCTCGGAACCGCTACTGGGGTACCCCCATCCCTCTGTGGGTCAGCGAGGATTTGGAAGAGGTGAGCAAGGAAAATGAAACATTCTAGATAGCAAAAAACCCTGTCTGTACTTGTTGTTTGCTTATTTTGATGTATCTTTGGCTGCTGCAGCCTGAAGTTCTATTTACATGTTTTAATAGCATATCTGTATAACCCATCTATATTTGTATAATAGGTGATAGATCTGTGCATGTTTATGGGTTCATTTGTGTGCCTGTGCAGGCTTTCTTTGCTTTTGCTTCGAAACTGCAAGCAATTTTTTTTGGTTTTTACATTAAAATTAATCTTGTCTTTCCCAGAAGAATTTGCAGTGATGGCAAATCTAAAGGAAATAATAAATGCAGTGAGAAAATGGCAAGGAGGAAATTTATTTTTTTAATTTTTTTTTTTGGTAAAAAGACTCCTTTAAGTCTGCTTTTGAAATTCTGGTGGTTGGTTACTTCAAGCCAAATGAGTTGCTGAAGGCATAAAAGTAAGTCCACCACAGCAGAACAGTGAAGATACATATTTGTAGTGCCACAAATGTGAATGTAGCAGACTGTAAAAATACGAATCTAGTGGAATGATGAAAATGTATAATGGTAGTGCTAGAAATGAGCTTTGTCAAGCTGCAAGGTACCCTGCATTGGTAGCATAATGCAGAGGGCATGAGTGAACACTTGACACAATTTTGATGGTTTTAAAACTCCTTTTGAAGGTAAAGTGGGTTTGGTTTTTTTTGTGTGATGTTTTCCTTTTCTCTTTTTTCTTTTTTTTTTTTTTCCTTTTTTTTTTTTTTTTTTTGTATTGGGTTAGTTCCATGAGACACACATGATAAGCCTTCCTCATGCTGAGAGTAGGAAATGGTAATCAGTGTCAGGATGTCCAGGGAAGGTAAATACTGATGGCAGCATCCCAAGCCTTTATTTTTATCTCTCTTGATTTGAAGAAGTTTTACTCTTCATTTTAGACCTGAAAGACCTCAAGTAGCAAAACATCTGCTAGAGAAGTATATTATGACCTTAAACTTGCTGTTGCTTAGATGTGCACCATAAAGCATTTTTATTTCCTCTTCACTGGGAATCTTGGTAGGCAGGGAGATACTGGGATAGGGAGGGAGCTACTCCTGCAATTAGGATTTAAGTATCTCAGAAAGCTTTGGCATTTGGATTCTATTTGTGCTGTGTGTTTGTAAATTACTGACAAACCAAGTGCTTTTGTCTCTCATATAACAGTTAAAGTTTAGTGTGAAGACTGACAATTTATACACACTTTCTTCACATTCATCTAACATTTCTAAGTCCTTTGTTTGATCTAACCATTTTTTTTACATAATAAAAAGGCTTTCAGTGTTGTGCCTGGGTATTTCAGTCTACAGCTGAAAATGATTGTGTAACGGTTTCATTACTTCCACTCCTTGCCTCTAATAATATTTCATTTTCTGTTCAGTCTCCCCTTATCTGTATTCCAGTGTGTACTGATTTTTTTTTGCTTTTCTAGGTTTGATTTGTTAGTTTTTAATAACAAAATGATGTCTAACTTGGAAGATTGACCTTTCCTTTGAAACGAGCTGCAAATATTCCTCAGGGCTTGGTGTTCTGAATAATGATGGAAATACCAACAGGTCTATTATTTCTATCCATAGATGTCACACATTTCTGTTTGCTCCAGAGCCTGAATATTATGCTTTAATATATGAGTACAGCTTCTGAACTGAGCTAAATTTCAAGTCAGAAGTTTTTTAAAAATATTCACTCTTTTTCTGTGTGTGAGATATAGCTTGAAAAACAAATAGTGCTGGAACTGATGTAAAACTTAAAGCCTAGGTGACATCTGCTCTCCCAGTAATGACATTCCCTCAGAATTCCCTGACTCCAGTGTTACTGCAGCCTGGTGCCGTGTGGGATTGCAGAGCAGCCTCTTCATGTCTTGCTCTCAGAAGAACACTTTGTTGCATGCAATTATGCTTTGCATATTAAATCCTGGAGAAGCAATAACCATTCCTTATTTAATATACAGTAAGGTGAATTAATTGGTATTAAAGTGAATTTTATTGCAGATCAATAACTGCTTTTGCACAGTTTTATTTTAGTTTTCTTTTAGCATAATTATCAGGTAGAGATGCATAATGGAAGTTAAATTTTGAAGCTTGTGTTTATTGCCACATTTTTGCAGACAGTTTATCATTTTAAGCTTTCAAATTCCAATGATTTCCTCAGTGGAGGAACACATCTCATTTGGATTAGATAATAAAATTTTTTTAATACAACACCCAAGTTGGTAAAGCAGATATAGGCTCATTTTATAGGACTTACATATAAACACAAATGATAGTGTTCACTATTCAGTGATGCTCTGAAGTTCCCTGATTATTTCCTGGCTTGTCACTCATGGTAAGCCTGCCTTGGGCTGGGTGCCCTCAGTCTTGGCCAGCAGAATGAGAGGGCTCTGGCTCTGCTCTCCTGAGGGTGAGGGAACCTCTCCAGGTGCATTTCTGGGCTGCTTTGAGGCTGCATTAAGGCCACTTCTGGCTGACTATAGCAGTCATTTCTTCTCCTATTTCATATTCATGAAATGTTTTCTGGTGATCCCAGGCCATCTTTCTGACATACTGTGCAGGCTTCTTCCTTTCTGTGGGCACTCCTTACTCCTCAGCTGTGGTGCTGAACAGAGCTGAAATGGCAAAGCCAAAAAAACAAACATTTTTATTTAGCAGGGGCTGCAGGGCTGTGCCACGGGAACATGGAGATGCATGAATGCTGCTGGATGCCTTCATGCTTCTATTGACATGGATAATCCTGGATGTAATGTTCATTTTCTTAGCAGGGGTTAATCTTGACCTCTGGCTTCACCTTAGGTCTTGGAGGTGCTGACACAGCCCGTTAGACTCTTTGCTGCTGTTCAGTGTTGGTAGAGCTGGTTTTGGAGCTGATGTGAGCCATCAAATGGAGGAGCAGCAGAGGGCCCAGGCTGTTGGAGCAGCCATGGCTGCTGAAGGGATGTATCGAGCAGAAGCTTTAATTGGAGAGCATCAGCCTGTGTGTGCTCTGTGCAGAAACGAGGGGGTGCGGCTTAATGAGGGATGGAATTTGATTAGCATCTGTTTGCTGCATTCTCCTCTTGCCTTGCAGCACCTAATGAGCTCCCCTTGGGACAGAGGAGCTCCATCCTTCTGCCTTGGACAGAGGTGCTTAGTGATGGGGATCTGTGTTACTCTGGGGGTTGGTGGATTGTTCACGTGAACTTGGGTTTATTTCTTCCATGAGTGATTTCTGGGTGCAGTTCTGCATCAATATTCAGAATTTTGCTTCAGCATTGAAGCACTTGTTCAAAAACCACCAAATAATGAGCAGCTTTTCTCCCTTAGAGAGAGAGCTTAGTGTGAAAATATATTCAAGTACAAAGGTTAGAGAAGGTGTATCCAAGGGCATTTTTTTACCCATTTCTCTGTTAATACCTTTTCTTCCTCCAGCAGTGCTGAACTAAGCACCTGCTGCTGCTCACTTGTGCCTGTGTGCTTTCTTATGGGGCCACATGAATGAAGAACAGATCTGGGTTAAAAATAGTTTGTTGATGAAGATGTATTTTTACCTGGGATCAATCCCCTGGTGTAATTTGTGTGCATTCTGCAGGCTGTTTTACCTGGCTAGTGGAATCATCAAATATCCTGACTCACTTCCTACAGAAAAAAAAAAATACAAAAAAACATAGATAAGCAATGAAAATGTTACATTTCCAAAGTACTTTAACAGTAGAAGATAGTGATTAGTAATGCTGATCAGCACTTGAATCAGACTGGGAAAATCATGTCTTAAAACCCAAATCAGACTGAGTTTCTGTCTTCTCTGTAATTCCATGACAGTTTTTTGGAATTAAATACACCAAAACCTTTCAGTTAGTCAGAATTTCCATGTGTATACATATGCATATATTTAAGACTAACTATAGGAATTGAGCAGTGCTCTGATTTTTCGTATCTTAAGAGCAACTTACAAAGTTATTTCATGTGAAAAACGTCTGGCCTATTTACAGCTTCTTTATGGTGTTACATTTAACTCCTTCTCTGTCAGATCTGTCAAACCCTGGGGTTTTTCCATGGCAATTCTAAATGGGAAGGATGGCATGTGGGAAAGCATCTCCAAAATCCAGGTCTGTACTGCAGCTTGTGGCTTTTGAGTCCTGCCAGACGAGAGAGGCCACAGGGCTCTGGGAGGGCTCAATTTGAGTAAAACCTGAAGCAAAGAAAGCTTTGCTTTCTGCTTTCTCATGCAGTTTTTCAGAATCATTGTTTCATGATGTCATTGCAAATCTGGTGTGGAAATCTGCCTTTTTCTTACTAGCGTGTTGATGCAACAAAACCAAGAAGAGTAGCTGTGACACTTTCTTCACTTTAAATAAAAAGCCTTTAACATGTACAGTTTAGTCTACCTGGGATGGAACACATGTGGATAATGAGCTGGTTATTTTAGGAGAGGAACCTGGAATCTGAAACTCCTATTTGTCTGCTTTGGAGAAACTGCCCCCTTGCCAATCCCACATTTTTTTGGTAACCTGCCCAAGATGCTGCTGCTTCCAAGTCTCCAGTTCTCGTAACATGAATTGTATTAAATCAGTGCAGTGGTCTCTAACATCATTTGAGGAAGGAGACCCTTGTACAAAATTTTTATTGTTTTTTTCAGCTCTACCAAATACTAAAAGAGATACTGCAAGTCTCCTGCCTGATATTGAAAAATAAAATAGCTGCTGAATGCAATTAACTGGCTGCATTTCTTGAATTTCTCCTACAGGTGGTTTGTGTTGGTTCAATGGCAGAACTGGAGGAGCTGTCTGGAGTGAAAGTCACGGATCTGCATCGAGAAAGGTGGGTCACAGACTCTTCACTGGGTATTAGAAATAGATAGGAACATATAGAAAATCCTTGTGGGGTTTTTTTTTTGCCCAAACTCTGGGAAACAGATTTAGGGAATAGAAAAGTTGTGACAGGACTTCTGATTAACACATATAAATTTTCTTGTGTTCCGTCAACAGAAACTTTAACTCTGTTAACTTTCTGTTTAGTTTCAACAAAGTTGTTGAACACTCTTAGTACAAAGATTACGGAGGATGTCGAAGGAAACACTTTGAAGGAACTTTTTGAAGAGTCATTAAAATGAAAGCCAAAACTGCTGTCACCTTAATAGACCAGCACATGAACTTCTCCTAACCTGGTTTTGTTTGGGGCTGCTGGCTGTTTGTCCCGCAGCATCGACCAGCTGAGCATCCCGTCGCGCAGCGGGAAGGGCGCCCTGCGCCGCGTGCCCGAGGTGTTCGACTGCTGGTTCGAGAGCGGCAGCATGCCCTACGCACAGGTCCACTACCCCTTCGAGAACAGGAGGGAGCTCGAGGATGCTTTCCCTGCCGACTTCATCGCCGAGGGCATCGACCAGACACGAGGATGGTAACTTTCTGCCATTTATTCTGTCAGGTTATTGTAGAAGTAAGGCCCGGCGCTTGGAAGATATCGGAATGTAACGGAAAGATAGTAACCCCCCCCTCCTCGTTAGTATGGTAATGCCTTCTGCAATTAGCCAATAGCACCTAGCTGTGATGAAAACAGTGACCCTAGGTTATAAAATGTCAAATTCTCCAGCAATAAAGGCCATTTTCGCCATCCATCACATTGGTGTCTGTGGGTTATGGACCGAGTGGCCAGGGGAGGCCACCGTGCTGTTCCTTGAACCAGGGTGTTTGCCTTGCTTGAAAGGCAACAGGTTATCACCCTGTGTCTAACACTTCAGTGCTTTACTATCTACTTGAATAATTAGTATGTTTGTTTAACAGCAGTTTATAATGCAGTCACTTCTCATATCTTTAATGCTGTACAGATAATTTGACTGTTTCTGTACAAGTAAGTGTATAATTGGGGTTTTTTAAACTAAAACACAAGGTAGTCTAAAGCTCGGTGACAAACAAGTTGTTATAGAAATGGAGTATTAGCAAGAAAACTTCCCAGCTTTTATGGAAGACATCATTAGGTAATAGGGCACATCTTTGGCCTGGTAAGGAAAAGTCTCAGCGGCTGAATGATCACAGAACTTGAGTTATGTACTAGAGACAGAGCTGCACTTGAGTCAGTTGAAATGGAAGTCAATGTGCTGAGGAATTCAAGCCAATGTATAGCATGGTAATTTCTGCCCCAAGATTAAATTTGAATTTTTGGCTTATGTGAGTGCAGAAAGAAAATTAAATCAAATCTTAAGATTGTATAGTTTGCAGAAAAGTCAAAGTTTTTAGCTGTAACCTACATCTGCTTCTTTCACTCTGGATAAATCCTTTTCAATCGTTGGTGAAAAATTTTCTCTGATTTTCTGTGGTTAATGTTCTCATACATACTTGCATGCCTACATACAGTTTTAGTTTTAGCATTGCAAAGTGTTTAGTCCATGTCTGAAGTTTGAGGTTGACTGTGAAAATTGACAGATTAAGATGAATTTTTGTATTTTCTGGATTAGTGATTTTGACTGTGTCCAAGCAGAACTTTTCCATCCAGTAACTTGAGGTATTAGAGCTAAATAAATTCCTCTGGAATAGAGTTGGCACTTCCCTTTGCCCACTCCTCTACTCCCCCAACAAACCAAGCAACCAAAGCAGGCAGGGTGCCAAATACAACTAAATTTCATGATTGTAGTGAAATGTCTTTACTTTTCAACCTCTTAATTGTGATGCAAAAAATTATTTAACACCTTAGTATACAATCAAATATTGTTGGGTAGCAAAAAGAGAATGAGAAACTTACTTTTACCTCTTCATTTTTTTAATCTGGAAAAAATTAGAAAACAGTGGGTTTTTTGTTTTTTTGTTTTTTTATAAAAGAACTCAGGTTGAGGACATTTGGTGTGAGTCCTCAGACCTGTGTGCCATTGTCAGGGTGCAAGAGGAGCTTTTTCTTTTCAGTCTGGGGCAGGTTGCTTTTTGTTCTTAGCCTCAGCATAAGAGTTCCTGAGAGTCATACCCAGAGCTAGGTGTGTTTCACTTGTTTGTGGAGGGAAATCAAAACAGCTGCCTCAATTCCTGCTGCTCCCACCTTTCCCAGGTTGTTAATGAGCTGGGTCTTTGCTACCAGCAAGTGTTGGGTGATTTGTAGTAAAGCACTTTTGATGTGTGAGAGACAGAAGGAATTAAGATGTGAGGTCTAAGAGAACAACGAGCAGAAGTGTTGAGAGCACAGGATGTGATTTGTATTTGGCACATCCCGTACAGAGTGTGAAGATTGAGAATGGAGATTGGTTTTGTGTCAGGTCAGAGACTGCAGCTGCTGTGAAGTGAGGACTGGGAGATGGGGAAAGGCTCAGGAGGTGCAGTTCTGGTGGCTTCTCATTCACTCCATGAAAGAGGAGGAAAAATCAAGGGAGACAAGGGGAAAATTAATGTGACAAAGGTGATTGCCCAGGAAAGTGATATTTTTGATGACTTTCTGCATGGATAGAGAAGCAGCTGAGTTATATTTGTTAAAGCCACAGGACAAAATCTTAGAGTAGCTGGGTTGCATGACTGGCAGTCCAGGCAGAGTGGTAAGGAAGGCTCTGCCTTTGTATAAGGAAATGTAGCAAGATTTGTGGCCATGGTCTGAATGTGGTGGCCCACAGGCAATTCACAGCTGAAGGGTTTGCCATGAACCACAGGATCATGAATTTGCCCACAGTTGCTCAGGAAAAAAAGGAGAAAAGATTCCCTCCCTGTTCTCTCCTAGGTGGAACATAGAGCAAAGGAGTGAATTTCTGTCCCTGTTACGTTTTTTTTTGCTGTTATTTGACTGACAGCTATTTTTCTACAAGGATATACCTAGAAACAGTCAGAGATTTGGTGAATGGAAAGTGAAGCAGCAGAGAAATTGAGGAAGTTTTCAGGAAACAAACGTGTCTGTGGATATTTCAAAAATAAGGTGCAGAAAGACACTGCTTTAAAATATTCAAAGTGAATGAGGTGAATTTTAAAAGCACAACCCGAGGAAGAATCAGGAGAGTTCCATCAGAATATGTGGATCACAGGTTTTCAGAGACAGTCTTGTAGCTGTCATCAACTCAGGCACCTCATGCTGAGGCTCCTTGGGTTTGACAATTTGAACATAAAATTTGTGATGTATCCTTGGATGCAATTTTCAGTGCCCACAGTCTGCCTGTACAGTTTTCCTAATACAGGGAATTAGGAATTCCTAAACAATATTGAAATCTCTCCTAGTTGATTCTTTCTTGTGTTTTTTACCTGCAAATTTGGGTGCTCTAATAGGAGAATTTGTGACTAGTTTGCACAAGGTGTTGGGATTTGTCAATGAGGAACTTTTTAGTAGGTACAGAGGAAAAACTGCTGTGTTTGTAGTGAACTTTCAGCCCTGTAGGCTTGAGGTGTCAGTCACTTGAGAAAATAGATTATTTGTGTTTAGGGGTTTTCTTAAGAAAGGTAAAAATCAAGACAGGGAATGTAAATGTTTGTGTGCAGGTGGAAGAGTATTGGTTAAAATTCATGAAATTAAACTGCAGTTTAATAAGGAGAATTTGTATCCTGCAGTGTGAGTTGAGGTGATTTTGAGAGTTAGGGCCCTGTCTGAGACAAGTATCAGAGCTGTCATGGAAGTCACTTAATAAATGTACACACAGCAACCTCTGCAGAGGACCCTCAAGTGTCAGAATAATGCTTTTGCAACTGTAGGCTGCTTTTTGATAAAAACAGCCTTGGAACATACAGATGGATTTTTTTTTTTCCCCCACTGAGGTGTTTCTCCTCTAAATCTTCATGCAAATACATAGTTCTGAGACATAACCTCCTGTGCCTTATTATAGCTTTTTTATAATCACCTTCTCTTTGAAGGTTGCTAAGCAGTTGTCAGTGTGATGCCTGTTTTGAACCAGGAAAGCTGTGGCCCACCCTCCAGTTACTTTCTTAAAAGTAATTACCAACAGTGCAGTTCCAGCAGCTCACACATCCCTCCTTTGGTGAAGGCTCTGGCTCCTGAGTGTGAAATTATCACATCATCCTGCACTTCCACTTAATTTCCCAGACATAATCATATATCAGCCTGTGAACAATAGGTGCCTGTGCTTTCTCCAGCACTGATTTCCAAAGTGTTTCAGTTTATAGAGTGATTATAAACACATCAGATAGGGAAGGGAGGAACCACTGCTGCCCTTTGTTGTGAGAACATTCTCTTATTTCCTGGTGATGGCTGATTTAAGCAGGCAACCACAACCTCCTTCCAATCAAACCTTTGGCAGGATAGGAAGGAGGCTTCTCCCATTTTTGAGAACTTGCTTTTATATTTCTATACTATGTTCCATTGTCTGTCAGGCTGAAGAATACACAACACACAAACACACAAAATGTGCTGGTCCTGAGTGCTGTGTTTGGTCCTACTGATCCCGTGCTCACAGGTTTGCAGTGAGCAAATAGGAAACTTGTTCAGGGGCAGAATTCCCTATTTTGTACTAAAGAGGGAAAATGCTGCAGTTTTCTTCTTCATGATCTTCCTAATGCTTCCTATTAGAATTTTTCTGCCTTCCTGGACTAGTAGATCCCAGCTAAGCAAACAGCATGACACACTTCAAATAGGAAGATCTACTTTCAATAAGCTCCTCTTCTGACTCTGCCACATAAATGTTCTCCAGACTTAAAATTTATCTTTGCTGGAGGAAAGCAGCATAATGAAATATTTATTTTGTAATGAAGACACATGGGCTTTAGCTTGGTGTATTTATAAAGTCACATTTATCTTGTTTCAGGTTCTACACTTTGCTGGTGCTGTCCACTGCACTTTTTGGGAGGCCTCCTTTCAAGAATGTCATTGTGAATGGCCTTGTCCTTGCCAGGTTGGTGTCAATCAGCTCCTTCCCGAGCAGGTTTTTAGTCAAAGAATGTTTCAGATAAGACCTGCAAATTGTAAATGGAATGTGAAATGGACTTCAGAGCTGTTAAGACTTGCCAGGGAGATATCAGTGCTGCAGAAGATAAGAGGCGTCTGAGAGTGAGAGGCTCACACATCCCAACATCTGCTGCACTGGGTTCTTTCCAGCAGGATTAGTCCTGCCTTGGGAGAGAAAGTGAAAAACAAGAACTGGAAAGAAATGATACCTGTTACGCAGAGTAAAGGGGATGATAAATGTAGTTTTAGATGTAATTTAAAGTTATATTTGTTTCCCTTTATTTTCAAATGAAGCGTTGCCAGTGGGCTGGAGGGATTGATTCTAAAGAAGTGTATCTTTCCTCAGCTTGGGTAGGAAGGACAGATTTCCTGCTTAGATTTGTAACGTGGGAGCCTCTTGGGTTGGGCTTTGGTTTTTTTCAGTTGTTTTTTTTTAAGTTCAACAGTCCTACAGAAACAATGTGCTAATATATAGATATATATAATTATGTTCATGCCACCAGGAGTGTACTAGGACAGAAAAATTGAGCTGGATATGAAGGGTCTTTTTTTCTTTACCCATGTATTACAAGAGTTCTGGGAATTGATGCCTGCATTCTGATATTTTCTAGTGATGGCCAAAAAATGAGCAAAAGGAAGAAGAATTATCCTGATCCGATGCACATTGTGAACAGTTACGGAGCTGATGCACTCAGGTAGGATTTCTTTGATGGATGTTCAGTGGGATGTGTCGGCTCCCTGCTCATGGCAGATTCATACCAAAAGGCTGCTTGGGGGGGTGTGAAGAAACTGGAAGCAGGAAGAAGGTTAGTTTTAGAAGATTCTAGACCACAGTGACAGAAGTAACTGCAAGAGTGGATGACTCCAAAGAGCTAGCAATGGATGCAGTGCATATCTCCCTCCCTAAAGCCCAAGGGATCTGCTTCTTCCAGCACTGATAGTCTGAGTTGAGCCCATGAAAATGTGAATAAAATATTTGATAACACCACTATACAAGGTCACTGTTAAATCATTGGCTTAGAGAAGGGTCTATGCTTAATGAACAAAACATTTGTTTCCTGTTTGCACTAGATGTTTTCTAGAGAGAAAGTGCTTTGTTTTTGTGGATGTAAATACATAATTTGCACCTAATAGTAGTGGCACTAGAGAAACAGAAGTGGAGCAGCCTAATGTGTGTAGATAAATTGTCCTGGTCAAAGAGATTAAATATAGTTCATGTGGTTCATTAAAATTACAGGAACATATAAAGTAATTACACAGTCACTTGGTACTCTGGCTTGGTGCACTGATACATGCATCAAGTGGTACACTGAGGTAAAGGTACATAAAAGACATTTTAATGACTGCAGGAATGCACTACTTGGGCATTTCTCTAGAGCCCTGTAATTCTTGTGTATATAAGAAACCCTTCAACTCACACACTGTGTTACAGCTACACACAGAATTGATGGGCTGAATGGAAGATGTTTATTTGGGGAAGACAGTTGTTACTTCTGGATAATTTAAAAGAATCAATGTGAAGTTCTAGTTGTTTCAAGATTTAGCATTTAAAAGACTTAGAACATGTTTACAATGAAGAGCTGGGTGGAGTTCTTAAGTTTAATCAAGGTTGCTCTTTACAAATAAACAAGGTGTGTTAGCAGGGTAGCACTGAGTTGGTAGCTGCAATAATAAGAGTGAAAAGGGTTGGAGTTACTCATACTGGAGATTTTTAAATCACAGGTGATGTTTCTGTTGGAAAAAAAAGAAAACCTGCCTTTTTTATAAACAAACCAAAAAAACTTCAAACATCAGAAGTTGCAGTTCCATTATTCATGGGTTTTGGTGGTTTTTTTTTTTTTAATTTATAAGAAGCTAATTCATTTTTCTGCCAGTGTACTCATTCTTTAATGTCACATTTATTTATACCTACACCCACACAGAGAGTAAAAAGCATTGCAGCCTGGGCTCATTTCTGGAAGGAGCTCTGCAATTCAGTTTTCTGCCTATTCTGAGGTGCTTGATGTTCTCTGTTTATAGCAAAAGCTACAACTGAGGTTTTTTCCTTGGCACCGTTTCCCTGCAGAGTTTCTTAAATTTTTGCAGTACACAAATATATATGTATATTCTAACTGCAGCTTTGAAGTATTCTCAGCAGCAGCTTGATAAATAGATCAGCGGAAAATATAGATATAAGTTGGTGAACTGAATATGGAATTGAGTAGAAAGGGCAACCAGCAGAAATAACAGCACAGTAAATTCAACAACCCAACTTGAGGCTTCATGAAATTTGAATCCTGAGTGAAATCTGTAAAAAGGGCCAAAACAGTTGCATTTCAGTGTTGCTGAGACCTGGGCTGGAGATCTGTCCAAGCTGAGCTATGTCAGAAAGCATTTGCTGGTCATGGTATTTCCATATTTACTTTCTCTGTCCTGGGGTGAGGATTGCTGTTAGAAGTGAGGAGTTACATCCTCCTCTCAACCTGGTCTTAAAATGCAGAGGAAATAATGCAACAAGATGCTGGTTTAGAGGGGTGAAGAGGACATTACTTACTCTTTTCTCATGCAAACTCAGTAACATGGACTTGATCTGAGGAAGATTTTATTCTCTGCCTGGTGGGTAACTTAATGGGTGTAACTAAACTGATGGGACTCCTGTTTTCTTGTGTGCCTTATTTCACTTTCCATAGATTGAATGTGTCTTTGAATTGGAGTAATTGAGGAAATCACTCTTCTTTTAACATTTAGATATTGTAAGGTAGGGTAAGGCTTCTTTAATAAAACAAGCCCCCCAGAAAACCATACTACAGCACCACCAAACTGGTACATAAATAATTGTGATAGAGGGAAGGTGTGATTTAAGGATAGGCTTAAATTCTAGTTTCATTAATGGACTTACTTACTCATTGCCATTAATTGTTTGGTAATTCTGTAAATTTATAATCCGAGTTCAGGTACAAATTCACTTTGGTGATCTTTGAGGTCCATTCCCACCCAAGCTATTCTATCAATCTGTGCTTAAAAATGGTTTGGGTTTGTTTTTTTTTTAATCCAGTACTGAAAAAGCCCATTTCTGTTCTGCACTACTGTCTGTTTATTCTGGCAGCTCCATTTTTATCTATTAGTTTTAATGCAAGAAGCCCTCTCTCCTGAAGAATTTATGGTATGGTATTCTTGAATGTGCTGTGTCAAACCCCATTAAGATTTTAAAACCTCCTAAAGGAAGTGCCTGTAAAGTTGTATTAGTTTAGAGTCATGATTTTAAAAGTTTAAAAATGTGAGAAAATGGGTTAATAAATTTGGATTGAAAAATGCCACAATCTTTAAAATGAAGAAATGTTTGGTTTGGTTTTCATATTTGGAAAATTAACTGAGGTTCATAAATAATATTTGTATATATAAATAAGGTTTTTGCTTGTTTTTTGTTACCTGAGTAAGGCCTGGTTTCTCTTTGAGTTAATTTGATGGATTCCAGTTAATTTGATGGATTTATTTCTAAAGACAGGATGTTTATTTGGGGAAGAAGGGGGCATAAAGCATAAAGATTTTTTTATTTTTTTATTTTAAACTCAGAGACAGCAAAGAAGCTGAGGGACATTTCTGTCCCTTGTATAAGTAGTTGGTGTCACCTGGATCCTCTGGTCCCTCAGAGCTGCCTCTGGAACTGAGGCACATTTGTATTGTAGGAGGTACATCCTTTGTTCCCTTCTGGGGCTGTCTTTCTTGAAAATGTTGATTTCTGCCCTTTCTCTTGGAATTGCCTGTTTTGTTTTGCTCCTTAGTTCTGTCAAAGCTTTTCATAATTGAGGAGGTGAACAAGAGTGAGTAGAAAAATACTGGGCAGTGGTTAAGGAATTAAAAATACTACCAAAACAATAGATACCATCCTAAGGATGAACCATGCAGCCTCTGCTTGTTTTATACACTGATGCCATCTGAGCATGTGGTAGCACTTCAATTAACTTCTAGAGTAAAAAAGAAAATTTCAATTCAAATTCTGGATGCAGCATCTTAGAAAAACACCTGTAGCAGTTACTAGTAAATTGCTTTAGGTTCAGTTTGTTACATGCCTACAATACAATCATCTTTGGAGTTTTTCATGGGAAACCCTATCAGTATTCGCAGTTTTAAGCTCTGAAGTATTGTCCTCTTATTTTGCAGGTTGTACCTGATCAATTCTCCCGTGGTAAGAGCAGAAAACCTGAGGTTTAAGGAGGAGGGAGTGAGGGATATCCTGAAGGATGTGTTCCTGCCCTGGTACAATGCTTATCGCTTCCTGGTGCAGAACGTCCAGATCCTGCAGCACAAGGTACAGATCTGGGGGGCTGAGGGCAAGGGATTTTCTGCTTCTTCAGGGTTAAAGGGAATCAGCATTGTAGGGAAATTCAGATTGGAAGGGAGGTCTGGACTCTGGAGGTCATCTGATCTTTGCCTCCTTGGTCTCAATTAGATCAGGTTGTATATTATACTTGCTCTTAATTTGTTATTTACTGTTTGTACCATGCTTTATATTTGTAATCACCTGCATCTTTCTCTTTTCAACCAAGGTTATTAAATAGAAAGGAGGAGAGGTAGGTGGGTGACTGCCAAGACTTGACAGCTCTCATTTCTCAGATTGGAGTGCTGTTGAGTCCCTTTTATACCACATCCCTGGGAAGCTTCTGCATTCAGACTTGTGAAATTGGAGATCCAGACCTGGTGTTTGTAGGGTCAGGAAACACTGAGCAGTTACCTGCTGCTCCTCACCCCCTGGGAACACCAGTTAAAGCCACATGTGCTGGAGTGGATCCTTCTGAGATATCCTTGCTAAACCTGGGTGGGTTTTCCTGACAGTGTTTCCAGAGCAGCTGGAGGCAGCAGTTCCCACTGATCCCACCTCAGTGCTGCTGTTTTTCTCTGCTGTTCCTCTGTGTGGTGTGACCAGCTCCTGTCCAGGAGGATCTGTCCTGCAGGGTCTGTCACTTGGGCTGCAAGTTCCTCTGCACTGAGATCAGTGCTCAGCACCACACACACATTGAACATGAGCAGAACTGCAAATCAGTCAGGAAAGTTATTTTCAGTAGTGGCTGCTGTGACAGTTTCTTGAGCTAACTCATTTACAGGAACTTTAATTATGAATCTGCATTAAAATGCTTAACTTGGGAATACTCAGTCCTGAATACATTAGCCACGGCAAGGAGATTGTCTTCTGTAACATGACAGTAATTTTTTTAAAAGTTATATTTAAATGCAGCTTAGAAAAAAAATTTCAGAAATGGAATGGAAAGAAAGGCAAGTCACAAAAGCAATAATGCTTTAGACTTGTAGATTACGTTTGAAGTCTACTAAAAATGCTGGATGAGTGACAGGAGTTTCTACACTTTCAGTGTGAAAGCAAGATTAAAATTTCTTTCTTATAGTAATTTTTCATTAAAATTAAAGATTTGATGTGTATATTGTATAGTTTCTATTGAAACCAATTTTAATCTTTCAGCTGAAATTAATGACAGCAGGTTTAGTGCAGACTTTTATGGGAGCTAAATGAAAAGTCCAAACCTTATACTACATATGCAGTTGCAGTGCAGTGGTCACCGTGGAGCTGTCATTTGAATCAATCAAGGCAGCTGAATTCAGAAATCAGTAAAGTAAACAGCTGACTTAAACAATTTGGTTTGTCTGTGTTAGCAATGTCTTTGGGGAAGAAAGTTTGCTAACTCCAGATTCTAATATTTAACAAGTTTTTTTTTTTTAGGATCCCTAGACATCATTCATCAGACAAACTTAGATGTTACCCCCAAAATACACTTGTTTATTCCGTGTGGCCTTTGAATTGTCTAAAGTGAACTTTATAGCTTTTTGCCATGATCCCATTAAGTCTTGCAATATCAGTTCAATTGGGGACGGAAGACCCCACTGGAAAAACCAGGTGCTTAAGGAGATAGATTTGGTCATTCAGTAGATGGATTTTTTTCTTTCTAAATAGCAAAATCGTTCCTGTGCACCATATTAGGCAAAAGAATGGGCTACTGGAGGAGATAATGCTTAAATTAGATTTCATGCACAGGTTTAAGCAACTCCTTCATTGTGTTCTGCTTCCTGCGAGAGAGAAAGTAAAATCCCAGTGTCCTGGATCAGGTATAATAATGATTTAATGCTTATTGTAATTCTCCCTTTAATTGTAGTTGGTTAATGACTGCTGACCTCACACTGGGACTGCTCTTCTTCTGCATTTCTTTCCTATGAATCTTCTCCTTTGTGCTGTGAAAGTGTATCTGTAGTTCTTGGGTTGAACAATCCAAACAGATTATTTTTCATCTGGACTCTGAGGGAAGAGGAAGTCTAAAGGCTTTTAAAACCAGCTGTTAAATATTGTTTGTAAAAAAAAAACCAAACAGACAAAACCAACCCCAAAACCTGTTTCCAACCTGTTGTAAGAATGTGGGAAAGAGTCAGGGCAGGCACAGACATGGCCTTGCTTGGGAGGCCCTGCAGAACCAGCAAAGTGATGCCTTTTCTCAGATGTCTGCAAACATCATCAGTGCTCTGGAAAGCAGCAGAAATGCACTGTGTGCCTGTTGGGTGCTAAAAATTCCACCTGTTTTTTCAGGTTGCTACATTCATCTGTGTTTTAATGTGTTGAAATTGTCACATGTTCTTAAAAAAGTAACGGTCTTGTTTCTAGGCCTGCTCCCCAAATAGAATCCATCTGCATAGTAAATTCCTTAGAAATGCCTCAGATCCTCCTGGATGAAGGAGCTGTGTAAATTACAGGATCCTACCCCGTGTCTGGAGACTGGGGCTCACCCTGCACACAGGGAAAGGATTGGTACTGCTTTTTGTCTGCTTTAACAGGCCCAAATCACCAGCCTCTTTTGCAGTTAAAGGTTGTGGTGAGGCAGCAGTGGGAGACAGGTTTTCCACAGCTCCCTCTCTTACATACCTGTGTCTGGAATTTAATGTTTGCTGGTAGGAAACCAGTGTAACTCAGGGAAGATGCCAAAATAGTGGGGGCTGACAGGTAATTGGATATAGAGGTTTGATTATATACCCTGATGACTTGGAAATGTGCTTTGTGTTTTGATGATAGGAGGAGGGAAGAGAATTCCTGTACAATGAGAACACAGTTAAGGAGAGCAATAACATCATGGATAAATGGATTCTTTCTTTCACCCAGTCCCTCATCCAGTTCTTCAAAGCTGAAATGGCAGGTATGCATTTTTGCTCAGGGGGTTTCATGTTTGATTGCAGAACTTGCCTTTCCATACAGAGATTCCCAAATTCCATGAGAGACTTTGATAAAAGGAAGGAAATCTTTAACCAGCTACCATAATCCATGGAATGCTTCTTTCATGGGTGTTAAGTCAGATTTTGCTATGCTTGTTCATGAGATTTCAAAAAGTGATGAGGCTTTTTTTGTCACAGCTAATCCTGTGAGCTCAGTGATGGAGCTTGTTGCTGTAACAACGTCTGCTGCAGTGCTTGGAGCAATTAATAATATTATAATAGTCACTGAAAGACAGAAGTGAGAAGGAAGCCAAATAGAATTTGGAGAAGCTGGGAAAAAAGGGATAAAGTGGGCAGTGCTCAAGTCAGCTGAATAAAATAATTTTGGGAGGTACATGAACACTGGCAATAAATTTCTCCCTGGTATAGTTCCATGGAGAGGGTTTCTTTGGAATCATGCTGTGGGAGTGTGTGCAGCAGAATGGATGGTATTAGGATAGCTGTAAGAAGATATTGTCCAAGATTTTTTTCCCTGCATGTTGTCTTTTTCATGATCCCATACCTCTTGATGTGCCCACATTACACTGGGGCACTTAATTGCAAAGAGGAGATGCTGCAGGGACCCCCTGACGCAGCTGACAAACTTGCAGATTAAGTCACTGTGGGATTTGAAAAAGCTTTGGTACATTTGAGGGCACTGGAAGCCCAGGTATTGGGAAGAAGGTGGCTTTGGCCATTGTCACTCCTGTTCATGAATAAACAAATAACCCCCCTCAATGCCTGTGATCTTAAGTTGCCCTCAGAAGAATTTTTAGAAGCTGTGGGCTTGGGAAGGAAGGTGTTAGGAGGGAAAACAGATAATAAGGAAATAGCTAAATGCCAGATGTGAGTTCATGAGGACACAGGCCAATCCTGCACTTCCTCATCTCTTGCTTTCCCCCATCTGACTGATGGGATGGTCACTCTGAGCAAGACCAGTACAGTGAAATGATCTTGCTGTGATAGGTAAACTGGGTCATTTGGTAGGAGCAGAATTCATGTGAGCTCATCTAAGAACATTTCATTAAAGGAATAAAGAATCCTCAAGCTACCCAACCTAGCAGTATGACAAAAGTTGGCTCTCACTGATGAAAATGTGGCTTCTTCCTGCAAGTTGTTATGCTTGAAATTTGATGGCGGTTGTGTTGAGTTTCATGGAGTCCAAGCAGAGCCTATGCAAGTTTTATGTGCTGCATGCAAGGAGGAAAATACTCTGAGGGACAGCAAAAAATTAATTAGTGAGTTTGTGAACCTGGGATCTGCAGTGCAGATCTGGTTTAAGCCAGAAAAATTTGTAGGAAGGTGAATATGGGGGTAGAAACTTGAATTATCTGCTCTGATTTCTGAGAAGAAGATGAATCTGACCAAAAGGGGTGTGTCTGTGACCATCTTTGTAAAGTAAGGAGATCCTTCCAAACAGAAGAGAGTTCCTGATGGAAGATGACAGTGTAAAGACTTCCAAGGCAGTAGTGCTGGTATAAAATGCTGCTGTCTTGTGTTTGATGAAGATAACATCATGTGCTCATCAAATGAGTGGCAATCTCATTTGGAAGGGATTAAAACCCAGAATTTTTCAATTTATTTTTCTGCATAAACTCTGGACTCAGTCAGGCAGATCTTAATGAGATGCAGTGAATTTGTGTACTGTGACATGATACTCTAATCTCTTTTACAAACCTATTTTGGAATTTTATATTTTTTTTTAAAGATTTTCTGCTTCATATTACTTCAAGTAGGAAAAATGTCAGGAAGAGACAAGGGAAGATTATAATGACTGATACTGTCAAATGCTCAATAATGGAGATAAATAAAAACATGAATTCCTGCAGCTGGAGGTCATGGGGTATAAGAACACACAGGTTTGAAATTGGCAGTGCAGGAGACCCCACTGACCAGGGAAATGCTGCAGTTTGGCACTGCTTCTTTCATTTCATCCAGTGTCCTTGAGTGGAACTGAATTTTACACCCATCTCCTGCCTCTGGAAAAACGTTTCCATTAAGTCCAACTTATGGTAATTCTGCCCCAGTTTCTCCTGGCACTTGGAGAGGTGGCAGTGTCAGCCCAGGTGGGGTCAGTGTGGGATTGACCTCACCTGAATGGGCTGAGGGGCAAGGTTGGGCTGAACCTGTGCCCCCTCCAACTCTGGGGTGTTTGAGAGAGCCTAGAAAAACTCCAGAGAGGGGGAACAGCTCTCTGCTGCTCCTGGATGGGGAGAGCTTTGTGTTCCAGGAGTGTGTGCAACTGGAGGAGGCCCAGCCCCATTCCCAGTGTTCATGGAAAATGGCACAAGTTACATTCTGTTGAAACCTGATGTGTTTCAGGGGTGTTAAAATTCTGTATTAACAATCAATAAGCCTTATTAGGCTTTTATTAAATGCCCAATACAAGCACTTATTTTAGTACTTAATTATGACTGAAATGAAAGAAGTGTGTAGAGCCTCCATGTACATCCATGGCTTTTTCCTGAGTCACAAAAAAAAGCAGAATTCACAATTTGGTTACAGCTATTGAGAACAGAAATGCATTTTTCCAGGCTAATACTGTATTTCTTGTTAAAGATACACTGTCCCTGAAGGGTGGGATTTTTTATTATTTTAAAATTTGTTTATAATGGGTCTCCTAACTAAATAAATGCATAGCTAGAAGAAACATTAGGATTTTTTTTAGGATTACAAATTCCCAATAATGTCTTCCCCAGCATGATGTGAATCTTCTGAGCATTTCCTTTTTAGGTTTAAATCCCAGTTCTCTGCCTTTAGAAACACTTCTGCTTTACAAAACACAGTGAAAAGTGTAGTGGAGCTTTTAAAGCCCAGATCCATTTTACCCAGTAGCTGCTTGATTAATGAAGCTGCTTCAGAATGGAGCTCAAGAAGCTCTTGGCTTTTAGAGAACTTAAATACAAGTTCTTCCTTAGCAAATTGAGTCCTGTGTAAGGTCCATCCCCCTTTATCCTCCCAAACTTCTCAGGAAGAGCTGAAATTTGTTTCCTTGTTGTGTAGTGATGTTGGTGATGACCTTGGCAGCTTTCCCTGATTTCAGTTACACAGAACTTGAAAATACAGCTCTGCTTATCTCTTACCTCATCAGCCTTGCTGCTGCTTCACATTTTAGCTTACCCTGTTATTTAGAAAAATAATGAAAAACTGTAATTATGGGGAGACTTGGTTGAAGTAGGTGTCTTATTTTAAATCTGTTGAGCAAAAGGAGGAAGCTTTGGCAGTAATTAAGAAAATTTTATTTTCTGGTTCTGCAATAATTTCTGTTCAACTTGCAGTGCCATGGCTGTGTTTGCAGCATGGGTGAATGGAGGATTTGCCCAATCCCCTGCCATTAATAGTCTCTTATCCACTATCCTCTTTACCAGTCAGATAAAAGCATAAGGCTCCCATAATGTCTGTTTGTGTGGGATTAGGAAAGCAATTTGGGAGAGGGGAATGTGTTTGTCTTGAGCATGAGAGGGATGCTGTGCATATTCAAAATACAGTTGTAAAATGATCAATATTTAGTTACTTTTTGGAGCTTTCTGCTGTGTTTAATACCAGGACTGTAAATGATGATGTGATTTCTAAGTGAGGAGCTTGCAGAGGGCAGATTTTACCTGCAGGAACCATTTTTCCTTGCAGCTTACAGGCTGTACACGGTGGTGCCTCGGCTGGTGAAGTTTGTGGATATTCTGACCAACTGGTACGTCAGAATGAACCGCAGGAGACTCAAGGTAGGGATCAGCTGCTGCAGTCCTGCACTGGCAACAAAGTCCTGGCAGTCCCTGGGAATGGGATTCATGGCAGCTCCACACAAGATCTTGGCTTTAAATGCTGTCACTGTGCCTGAAAGTGGCACAAAATTTAACTGTTTTCTCTCCTTTGTGGAAAAACCCAACCAAAATGCCCAATAATTCCATTGCACTTGCTCAGTGGAATCGACCAAAGTTAATACAGTTTGGAAAACACATGTATTGTAATAACATAGCCTATTTGAAGTGCATTTGAAAACTTTTGAAGTCCATTGAAGTGCATTTCCTGATCCTCAAATCTCTGCTTTTCTTGGTGAATTCTTCATTTAGGGCGAGAATGGGACTGAGGACTGCATTATGGCCTTGGAAACTTTGTTTAGTGTCTTGTTCTCCATGTGCAGGCTCATGGTAAGGGAATTACACCCCACTCCCAGTAACACTTTAATGCAGTTAATGTAAAAGCATATTTGTGTAGCACAGTTCATTTTCCATCTTTCCCTTTTATTTGCTTATCTGCCCCTTGGTGGTAAAAAAAGAAGGCCTTTATCACCTGATTGATAAAGACACAATATAATTTCTTCCCTGATGCCCAAAAAATAACATTTAAATATCAGGCAGGAGGTAAATAAGTGGTATGAATTCCAGTGTTTATTTCAGTCTGCATTTTGAATAACATCCCACTTGCAGACACTTTGTAAGCATTGTTTTTGCTGAACTGTCCTTATGTAATTCATGGTATTACTGATTCATAATGTACAAGCAATAAAGGAAAGCTGGTGATTGAATGCAATATTACAGGCACCATATACTCCATTTATCACTGAGCTGATGTACCAGAATCTGAAAACACTCATTGATCCAGCCTCAGTCCAGGAGAAGAACATCGAGAGCATCCACTACCTCATGCTTCCCCAAGTCAGGTAAGAGGCAGCTCTTAGGTGGCAAAATTGGGGTTTGGTTTTTTGTTGGGGGATTTTTGTTCATTTTTGGGGCTTGGGGGTTTGGTTGTTTGTTTGTTTTTGGGTTTTTTTTTTTTATTTCACAGAACAGTGCTCCCTCACTTGTGTTTAAAACTGCGTAACAAGAAACCAAACTGCTTTCATAATGTAAATACTTTGTCTCTGAAAAACTTTAGGATGCTAGTGAACATGTTCTTTTCTATGAGCACAGATTGTTTATATTTTGATTAAGATCTGATGAATTTTAGTCTCTTTGCTGTAGGAGAACATTTCCCTTGCAGTACACTTCACACTTCACCCTCAGTTTTAGCTGGGAATTTTCCCTCCATATTCAGGCAGTAGATTTGTGTTAGCTTAAAGGACTGGAGATAGGAAGGAAAGCCAGTTAGGAGGAATGCGTGTTCCCAACTCATAATATTTTCTTGTGGTGGGCAGGAATATCCTTTTTTACTCCTCAGACTGTGTGTTGGCTCAAAGCTGTAGTTTCTAACTGTGAAAGGCCCTAAAGGATCAGAGAGATCACTGGTATTGCAGTGGATTAAGTTCCTGCATTTAGTTCCTGCAGCACTGTCTGCTCTGGGTATCTGAAAACAAGAGAAAAAATTTCCCTTCAGTGTTGCAGCTCAGTGTGAAAACCCTCAAGGACAGGGGACCTGACCTTGATACTTTACAGTTTAAAAATTTAAACCTTCTCTAATGGTGTATCTTTTTATGGCTGCTGCACGCTTTGAGGAGGATGTATGGTCTTTGTGATCACTTTAATAGTGAGAGTTACTGCAACAGGGAGCTGGAGATTGACATAATGATGGTGCTGATTTTCTGTTCCCTGGGCAAGTGCTCTGAAGAATATGTAATCAATGCCACCCTCATCAGGGAGCTGCCAGGAGTAGGTCTGGGCTTCTGTAGAAGGGAGTCAGGGAAGGATGGGGAGCTGTTTGCAGGGACTCACTTCAGGCACGGGCTTAGCACAAGCACTTAAAAGTGGCTTAGTCACTCTTCACTGCAGTTACTGCTGACTTGCTGCTGCATCATGCAAATGTGGGATGTGTTTGAGGCTTGCATCACTATTCCCTGTATTGCATTTTGTTTGGGTTTTTGTCTGTTGCTAGTTTGTGGCATTTATTTGATCCTGTGTATATCAGTTGTTCCCTTGTCCCATAGAAAAATCCTTTTCTAATCCAGAGTGTTGTTGATGTTGGAGTTTCACCTGGAGTTGCAAAGCACATCACTGCATTTACTTTGAAAGTTTTCTGATACAGCATAAAGACAATACTGTCAATTAATAGGAAGAGAGATTTTTCAATGCAGTTACAGAAAATACCACTTTGCCAGTATGGTGATTGCAGATAAAGCTGGAGGACTTGGCCACTTTCACAGCTGAGCTTGACTCAACACCTGTGTTAAAACCCCACCGAGGTCGTGCTTGGTTGCTCAGTGTCTGAACAGATGGGTGACATTAAATCTTGTGGATTTGCATTCAGTCTTTGAAAAATATTCTTATGTTGTGGCTCTGCAGTGTTGTTCAGTGATATTGAAATACTGTCACATAATCCTGTATGAAGCTTTCTGGGAGCAAAATATTCCATCTTGTAATTTCCACATTTCCAAGTTGTTGGAGGATCATCCTCAGGGACTGGCTTTTGGAAGAACAAAAGCTTCAAAAGATGTGGAACCAACTCAAGTCTTAATGCTGCAATGGACATATTTCAGTTTTAAATTTTGTTTCATCAGCTTTGTTTTTCTGGCCTTACTGCAGTTGTGGTTTTCAGCCCAGTACTTCTGCTCCTTAGGTTACAGCAAGTACCTGTGTTCATTTAATTTATTCATATCTATCTTTTTAACCAATACCTCTGCTCTTGCTTTGATACCTGAGTGGTTTTAAAGGAGCTGCCCAATTAGTGCATCTACTTAACAAATCAGGAAAAACATATTTTCAGAACATTTCACTGCTTGTACACGTGAAACAAGATGTAAATGTCAACTGCCAAAAAAAAAAGAAAAATGAGCCAAAAATTCAACCCAAATCCTCCTCCCCATCCCCAAAAAAATGCCAAAAGGCAAAAAAATCCCCAATCCTGCCTTGCCTCAGAGTGCAGGGGTGTTACAATTATTGAGCCTGGAAAGATGCAAAAAATCTAAAACATCAAGCTCAAATATCCACAGTTTCTGGAAAAGATGATAAATCGAGATCCAGTAAATTGTTGTTACAGGGAATTCATTGTTGCTATAAGTACTCTATTTATAATATCTTTCTGCATCTTCTTATGATATTATTAATGTAAATTGTACTTTTTATTGGCTATTACTAGAATAGGTTATATGACTCAATCCTGTGCACCTTGTGAGAGGTGCTAACAAAAGATGTAAAAATAGCTCTGCTATTTGTTTTCAGCAGGTTATTTCCTCCTCATCTTCTCCACAAAGAGAGAGGAAAAGCCTGTTTGTTCATTTTTCAAATTGCCCCAACCAGGGCATAATTGAGTATGTGGCAGGAAATGTCAGGGAAGGGGGTAAAATGTTTTCAATCTGCTCAAAGAGAGGTGATGAAAATGAAGCAATTATGTTTCCTTTCTAATCTAGGGAGGATCTCATCGACAAAAAAATTGAAAGTGCCGTTTCTTGTTTGCAGTCTGTGATTGAGCTGGGACGAGTGATCAGAGACAGAAAAACCATCCCAGTCAAGGTTAGAACTCCTCACATCTCCTGTCATACCTTGGGAATGTGCAACAGCTTTGTAACTTTGGGATAAACCTGGGGAAACTGAGTAGTTAAGTTTCTGTTTTGTTTTTTTCTTTCCTCAGTATCCTCTGAAAGAAGTAGTAGTTATCCACCAGGATCCAGAGGCACTGGAAAACATCAGGTCTTTAGAGAAGTACGTACTCGAGGTAAGAACATCATGTTTTACGGGGATTGTGTCTGGTGGTTACCTGAACAACCTTTTCTGTTGACCATATTAATAGGTAAAATGAATTTCCAGGAGAGCTGTAATGAAAGGGGATATCAGTGGGTGGTGTGCCAAAGTCAGTTTAGTGTTGAGAAATACTTAATCCTACAAACTGACCACACTGGACTGAGAGGCTGTTAGAATCTGACCCGTTTGCATTCTCTAAAGCCATGAAATCCATCTTCAAGGATCAGTGGCACAGAATTCTCATTCTGTTCCCACTAAGCACTGGCAGTACAGGATCTAAGGAGGTTTTTCCTTGTGCAGAAATGGTGTGGCCCTTATCCTGTGCCTGTTCTTGGCAGAATAAAGATTGTTTCTTCAGTGAGGTATCTGTAACAGCAGATCTGTTCATGTGCTTAAAATATGCCATCGTGTTGTGGTTGAAGTTGCCATTGTCAAGGTCACCTGCTTTACCTTGACAAACAGAACAATAATGTGCATCTTCCCAAGGAGGATCAGCTCACCTCACATGCCTTGCTGAGGGCAGTCATGTCAATTAGGGAATTCAGGAGATGAAGCACAGGAGGACCTCTGAAACTTGTGTTATATGTAATTCCAGCAATGTGAGCTTTCCCCAAACCTAAATACACATCTGTGGAAAGTCTAAAAATTCTACTGGGTGAATGAGCACTGGCTCAGGAAGGCACAGCTCAGTGCACAGGACCTCTGCATCAGTGCTGTGTGCTGCTTGCTTTTAGTTACTGTGGGAGTTAAATGCTTAAGAATTGTTCATTAGAGGAATTTTAATTTAAAAGATAGTAATTGATTTGCAAGTGGGACTGTAAAGCTTTTCTGTCATGTTAACTTATTGATTATTTCTCTTAGACTTGGCACTTATGATCCCTTGCCTCAGAATTGCTGTTATTATTAATTATAATAATTTCAATATCTGAGTCTCCTCAACAGCAGAATTCTGTGGAATTTAGGCTAATGTCTGTCCCATTTTTTGGATCTGAAAAATGGATTTGTGGATTCTAGAGAATCCAGCTTTAAGGGAGATGAGTTTAGCTTCCTCAAAATACTTCCATAAGAGTGGTTGCTAAAATTTGTTGTCAGCTTCTACAGCTAATGAAAGGTAACAAAAAAAGCTAACAATTTTTAAATTATTATGTAATTGGATTGTACATGAGTAAGTTTTGATTTGTATTTCCTTTGCCTACTGCAGACAAAAGTCTCTCTTCTGGAGAGATGAGTTAAAACAAACTCAGATGCCTTTGTGGAAGCACAAACACAAAGTGCTGTCTGTTGTCCTGGTTTTATTATGTGTCTTAAAATTCAACAAGCTGCTGCTGGAGCTTAGTGTGTGTTTTATTGTACTGCATGGCAATCAATCCTGTTGTTTACTGGATGGTGCAGAGCTAAAGAGGTCAGTGATTACAGGCAGGCTGGGCAGCATTGCTTGGACTGCATTTGCAGCTTTGTTCATCAACCTCCTGCCTATTCAGAGCTTTAGAACCTTCAGTGATTGCCAGGAGTAAATTTGCAGATGCCAGAGGTAATGGGTAAGGAGAATTACACCATTTAATTTCGTGTAGTTGCTGACAAAAGAATTGGAAAAATATACTTGTCAATTCTTCAGAAATTTCATTCATTGCTTTTGCAGTAGGAGCTGTAGTCTTTGATCTGCAGTGCTGCTCTCTCATCTTCAGAATACAGCAAGTCATTTAAATAAATGGATTTTAATATTAGAACTTGCCTGATTATAGAGTTGTCATGCAAAAATAGCCAAGCTCACAAAATGAAATAAACCCAGGAGGCTTTTAGCAACTGGACACAGTTGCATTTTATTCATTTCTATTTGAGGCCTTTTACAAGCCTGGGTCAGGACTTCTTTTCCCAGCTGCTTCCAGGGAAAGGTTTTCTCTGAGTAAATTTCACTCTGTGCACAGTCAGAATCTTGTTTCCATCCACCCTTTGTATTCCCTCCATCCCCCAGCCCTGTGTAGGGCTGCTGTAAAACAGAGAAATTTGGCTTCTACATCAAACCCAGGGACCGAGCCTGTGATGGGGCTGAATAATCTGACAGAGGCGCTGTGGCTGGGGGGCCCAGCACTTTTTCATTTCTTACACTATTACATAATGAGTACTTTCCTTTTCAGGCTGCCTGCTTAGAGAACCCAGCCCAGCTGAAGCATAGCATTTCTGACATTTCTGTCTGTGTTCTGAGGACTGGGCATAGTTGGGGTACAGGGCACCAGCTAAAGGCTCTTGTATGTTCAGGCATTCCCTGTACAGCTAGCTCTTCCAGCTGGCCATGGGAAGGGCTGGTTGCCTCAGTATGTCCACATGAGATTTGAAAGATGTGTTAAGGAGCTAATTTTGAGTAATTAGGAAGATAAAATTAAGAATTATTTTAAGTCAAAGCACAGAGACTGATGTAAACAGACCTAAGATACAGATTTGCCTGTTTTTCTAAGACTCATTCTGGGTTTTTAAATGGATAATATGTTCAAAAAGAATTATTTCCTAATCTAATTAGTACAGAAAACTTGTCCTGATGGAGTTGGCTTCTCTGTGATTTATCTAATCAGGCCCAAAGTCATCTTTCAATTTGTGCTATTTTTTAGATTATTACTTCTTTTCCCCCACGAGGTTGTCATTTACAACTCGTGGGCTCATTTCCAGCAGCACCCCATTGAAACTGAATTTCTGAAGTGCGCAATTTTCATTAGATTTCCTAAAAGATGTATTAAATAAAATTAGATTCAGTTGTGTTTTTGGCTCCTCATGTCAGTAGGACTTCCTAGGGAATTAGGCTGCAGCTCAGAGGTTGTATTTAAGCATTATTTCTCAATGCAAATGTTTGGCTACTTGCTAGTCCTGTCATGCTGATGCTGCCATTTACTTCTGCTTCCTAAATGCCTTGGAGCAGCTTGTTTGCCAAGTGCACCTGGTGATGCTGTAGGATGGTGATGGGAGCTCTGACCACCATCCAGTGGGCATTAAATGCCAAATGTTTCAAATACTGGGCAGCCTGGCAGGCAGAACCTGCTGGATTGCAGTGAAGTGCACATGCAGGTCTGTGCCTCATGTTTTCCAACCCCAGTCATATCCCCCTTCAGCTTTCTTCTCTCCAAAGAGTTCCAGCCTTGGTCTTTTCCTCATATGAAAGCAACGTTGTCCTCTCAATCAGTTGTGTAAAACTTTGCACAGCACCGCTATGTTCCCTTCAGATATGGGGACAAAAATTGCATGTGCAGGTCAGAAAAATGGGCACACACATTCCTGCAGTGTCTGGGACCTCTCCTGGAGTCCATGCAGGTTTTATAAAGCTGTTTTGGCTGCAGGGGCACAGCCAGAAGCTTTTCTGAGCAGGCTGGTTTTGTGTGCAGTCAGGGGCTGGAATGAACAAGTAAAAAGGAGACAAAATGAGGCCGTTTGGTACAACCTCAACCATGAAATGGTTGGTTATGGTTTCCTGGCTCAATGTGTTCTGAAAGGACTGTTCCAGCAGGATTTTCCCTCCTGAGCTCTGCCCGGCCATTGACTCCACCACTGCACACAGAGGGAATGGGTTTAGTTCTTCAGGCAGTTCTGAGGGGGAGGTAAAAAGGGCTGTTGAGTAGGGGGATGATTTGAGGTGAGAGCAAAGAACTGCCACCTGGAGGCTGAGGGTGAGGAGGGGCTGTGCTGCTGAAGGCGGGTTCGGTCGGGTTTGTTTGCTCTCCCAGTGCTGGCCAATGACCTGGTCCAGAGATAACTCTGTACAAGCCTCACACCCGGGCCCTCACACCTTCCCCGGCGCTGTTGTTGAGCTCATGCCCTGTGTGTGTCCCTGCAGGAGCTGAACGTGCGGGCGCTGACGCTGTCTGCGGACAAGGGCAGGTACGGGGTGCGGCTGCGGGCCGAGCCCGAGCACACCGTGCTGGGCCGGCGCCTCAAGGGAGCCTTCAAGTCTGTCATGGCTGCCATCAAGGAGCTCAGCAGCGAGCAGCTGGAGAGGTTCCAGGAGACAGGTCTGTAGTGGGACAGAGCCCTTCGAGGATGGCAGGGTATCCTCCTGTGGGCTTTGGGGAGCTTAAGGCCTACTTCCCTCTTATTATCCCTATTCATATACGAGGAGAAAATTGGGGTTTTTTGTCCCCAGTATTTTTCTGAGGGTAAATTAGAAATGGCCACAAGCACTAATCTTAGGCTGTTCTCCTGTTAAACTGTTCCTTCCTGTCAGAGGAGGTTTAGGATGGATAACAGGAAAAGGTTCTTCCCCCCAGAGGGTGTCAAGCACCCCAGAAAATGGGCACAGCCCCAAGGCTGCCAGAGCTTCAGGAGTGTTTGGACAGCACTACCAGGGCTGCACAGGGTGGGATTGTCAAGGTGTCTGACCAGGAGTCAGATCTGACTCTGACTCTCTGACTCTGATCCCTGTGGGTCCCTTCCCACTCAGGATGTTCTCTGATTTTAAGGGCTGCTGTAAAGACAAGATGAAGCAGAGAATAAGCTTTCTGTGAGACTGAATCAGATTGGAACTGAGTATTTGTGCAGTAGCTTTTATTCTAAAAGCATTGCTTCGATTCCAGAGTTACAAGTGGGTGTGAATTTTGCAGCTATATCTGTTTAGTGAATTGCTTAAATGGAAATTGGGAGTTGGTGGAGTATACAGGTTATTTTTAAGTTTTATTCCATTCAGATGGTTCTGCACAAACAGTTGCTGAAGTGCTTGTGTTTTAGTGAGCTCTGCTGCCTGGAGAAATGCTTGTGTGAAAAATGGGAACGTGGGATAATCCGGTGCTGCTTACTAGTGCTTAACTACTGTTTGATTGCATTGCCAGTATATTCGTTGCACATGTTTGGAGTCTGATATTTGATTAAAGCTTTCTGAATTTAAAATTGGGGGTTTTACTTGGATGGTAAAAGATGCTCTCCATATGCCAATCCTGCAGGCAGCATTGTTGTGGAAGGACACGAACTCCATGGGGAAGATCTCCGTCTCATGTATCAGATGACAGAGGGATCTGCCCAGTTTGAGGCACACTCCGATGCTCAGGTATTTTATTGGTTACTTCCTTTATTTTTTTTATTCAGGGAAGAGTTCCTCAGGAAGCAGTAGGAAAATGGTGGGGTGAAAGCTGGCTTGGGTTTGTTAGTTCAGGTAGTGCAGCACTTTTCAGGAGTGTGTGAATCCTGGAGCTGTTCAGTGCTCTCTCCCCCATCGTACTTTGTACATGAGGAGCTCTCTAAAAGTATTCTGAGCTCCTGAGAGTGTTACTTCCACTTTGTTCCCACTTTGTCACCTTTTCATCAGTGTTCTGTGCATTTGCTCAGGTTTTGGTGCTGCTGGATGTGACCCCAGACCAGTCCATGGTGGATGAAGGAGTTGCCAGGGAAGTGATCAATCGCATCCAGAAGCTTCGCAAGAAGGTGAGCAATCAGTGGGGTGGGACAAGGCATTTTCATTTCCTTTTCAGCAATCTGGGCAATATGCAGCAGAGACTGCATTTTTAATTAAACATTAAGTTCTGTATCGTTTACTCCTCATGTGTGGCTTTCTGATTGGATTCCCTTGCAAGAGCTCTAAAGGATGTGTAGAGAAAATTTTTGTGGGACATGTTATTTTGGAAAAGATATCTGTGCAGTTAAGGCTGCATAAATCATAAATTAATAGAAAAGTCTGGGCTGGAAAGGACTTTCCTTTAGCATAAGACTGAAAAACTACAAATTTTTACCAAAATAGAAATTTTTTACATTATATATATTTAAAAAAAAATCTGTGTAGATTTTATATATACACACACCTATATAGTGTTTTTTTAAAATATATATATATCCACACCTATGTAGCTTTATATATTTTGAAGTTTTTTACATATATGAAACTTGAGGATTTATATCTGTATAAAAGAACCAGGAAGGATTGTGGCCATGAAAACGCTCCCATGTGTTACTGGATGATTTACATTCAGTTTAATAACATAAAGCTGTAATTTATTTTCACTGTAATGAATATACTTAATCTTGCCTATTTTCCCATGTTTTAAGATTCTTTGTGTTTTTGCAGAAGGGTTGTTTTTTTTCTAAGTCTTTTGTGGAAGCTTTTAAGAGCTGCTTGATAAATACCTTTTTTTTTTTTTTTTTTTTTTTTTTTTAACTTGACAAGTATTCCTCTCTTGGTTTGTGGTTTTGCTGTCAGTAATGGTGTGTCTGTGTGTCCTGCAGAGGAACCTGGTCCCCACTGATGAGATCATGGTGTACTACAGGGCCCTGCCAGAGGGGGAATACCTGGACTCTGTCATCCAGCAGCACGCTGAGTTCATTTTTGCCACAATAAAGGCAGACCTGAAGCCTTACCCGGTGCCTACCTCAAAGGAAGTTCTCATCCAGGAAACAACCCAAGTAAGGAGGAAAAGCACTGCTGGCATAGTTCATCTTATTTGCTTTCAACCCAACAAGCTGCTCCAGTTAAAGAATAATGGTGTCAATATTTATTTATGGGATAGAGCAGATATTGTTTTCTATTTATAACTTTCTGTATTAGTCTTTTTTGGTTTATAAAAGAAAGGAGTTGGGTTCTGTATGCGTGGTGTTTTTGAAAACCAAGCTGCTTGGATACCAGAGTAAATAAATGAGGCAGTTGTTTGTGTAAATTTAATACACAGTTATTTGTACTTGGATTAGGGTGTTGTTTGAACAGCCAAAATGTTGTTGCTCTGATTTTTTTAGATAATAGACTTTTGTATTAGAACTACTCCTTCGAGGCTAAATTTGGCTTAAGACCAACTTGTTTAAGGATGTTTTTTCCTCTGCCCTGTATTGCTGAAGTTGTCTGTTGTAAAAGTGTAGTTTCACAGTTCAAATCAGCAGCAATTTCTGTTGTTTACTTTACTTCTTCTTACATATTTGATGATAGTTTTGCCATGGTTTTACTGAAACTTACTCTATTCAAAAGACATTCCTAGCAGAACTGTGAATGAACCATTCTTCAATGTAACTGTTCTGCTGGTCCACAAAGATTAATTCACAAAAGAGTGTAGGATCTACCAGACTTGAAATTTGATTTACAGAATGGCTGGGAAGGCAGGGAATAGCTGCAAGGGAAGGGCACATATCATCCATCTTGATAGTGTGTGTAAAGGAAATGTTTTACAGTTATTAATGGCTCTTCTGAAGTTGTACAGATATGAAACAAAGCCCTGTTTGGCCTTTTTCAAAATGATCAGTTTCATCTAGTGACAGAAAGGGGGAAAACACTAAGTAAATACTGTGCTTGAGAAATTACTGAAAATCTTTAAGTTTCTCCTAAGTATTCATTTGATACTTCTGATGGACAATTTGATGTAAAGTCAACATCAAATTTGAATTGGAACGTAAAAGCAGCTGGAAATACAGTGCTGGGAAGCACCTCTCTGATTGTCTGCCTCAAATCACCTCTACCTGAGCTTTAGTGCTGGTCACTGTGGCTTTCCAGGAAAACTTTCATCTCTGTGCTAGTACAGTTCCCCCCCCACTTAATTTAATCTTACCTAAATCTAATTTAGTGTATTTTAGTGAAGAAAACCATTGTGGAAAGGTGAGTGTTTTGGTTTAGTCATAAATAATGCTGTGTGTGTAGAGATGAAATCCTACCCTGACAGCAGGCACCTGACCTGGTTTTTATGGATAGAACTGATGGCTGTCATCTGGATGTCAGCAAAAACCAGGCAGTCCTTTCAGTTGTGGAGATGATGAGCTGGTGTGTGACCCTGGGAGAGGTTTGTAGGTCAGGCCATGCATTTGCACAAATGTTGTATTTAAGACAGAGGAAATCTACAGAAATCCTCACTAAATGACACTGTTCTGGCAGCCAGTTCCGTGGGGCTGTTGATAGCTCAGTTTAGAGAAATGCAGTTGTCTCATTGTGAGTATCCAGCTGAGGGGGCCTCCTGCCACCTTGAAACCTTGGCAGGGAGGGTGTTTCCATGAATTGGGCTTGTTCTTCTCCCTGGAGAAGAGAAGGCTCCAGGGAGAGCTCAGAGCCCCTTCTGGTGCTTAAAAGGGCTCCAGGAGAGCTGGAGAGAGACTTGGGGTGAGGGATGAAGAGACAGGACACAGGGAATGGCTTTCCACTGCCAGAGGGCAGGGTTAGATGGCATTTGGGAAGGAATTATTCCCTGTAAGGTGGGGAGGCCCTGGCACAGGGTGCCCAGAGAAGCTGTGGTGGCCCCTGGATCCCTGGAAGTGTCCAAGGCCAGGCTGGACAAGGGCTGGAGCAAGCTGGGACAGTGGAAGGTGTCCCTGCCCAGGGCAGGAGGAATGGAAAGAGATGGTCACTAAGGTAAAGTACCTTCCAACCAAGCCACTGCAGGATTCTGTGAAGTGCTGCAAGTCCTGAGTGCTGAGGGGGTGCAGTCTGCATGTGGAAAATGTAGGCACAGAAGAACAGAAGTAATGCACTTGCTCATTATTATTTTATTTTAAGGAGTCTCAGTTACAGAATCGTAGAAGGAGTTGGGTTGGGGGGGGGACCTTGAAGATCTTGTAGTTCCACCCCCTGCCATGGGCAGGGACAGTCACCCCAGAGAAACTCCTTGTGGAGGTGCTCTGTGCCTGCTGCAGCCTCTTCTGTGCTTGATGTGCCTCTCAAGTGTTTGTCACACACTCAGACTGTAAAACAGATGTTACAGAGGGAAACAGATGACTGAGATTTCAGTGCAACTGTCAAGTGCTCCTTGGAAGTCTCTGTTGCTGGGCCTGCAGAGATGGATTGCTTAGGGCAGATGCTTGACTCTGTGTTCTGCTGCAAGTCCTTTGTCACAACAAGAACAGTGACATGAGAAAGCCCTTCCTGACAAATCCTTTCATGTGAGTGTGTAAGTTAAGGCAGCTGTGGCAGGATCTTTGCACCAAATTTCTGGAAGTTGTTCAGAGGAGTAACAGGAGTCTGCTTGATGTTGAGTATGTGTGAGGACTAGAACAAAAATGAAATGCACTCTGTCATTTTTGCATTTGTTGTGATTACATTCAAATCATTACTTCTAGGAAATTATCTGGAATCAATTTTTACAAGGCTTTAATTCTGAGCTCCTTTCCCAAAGACTTGCTCCAAGCCACAGCAACAACATAAAAAACAGTTTCTCAAACTCTTGGGGCAGAAAAGCAGGTACTTGAAAAATGAATTTTGGATTGTTGGTAGACTGGATAAACACAGAATGGCATTTGTTGCTGCATAAGTGTTTTTCCCTACTTTGTGAAAGGACTTCAGTAAAGAATGACACTTCTGAATTTGTCTGTCACCCTTTGGACTGTGTCTCTTGTCAGAGCCCATCTCTGAGTTTCCAAAACAAAATTGCTTAAATGGTCTTTTAGTACCAATTGTTCATGTTGGTGATGTCTGGATCTTTTTTGGAAGATCCATGTTGGATTTCCTGGAGTGCCTCCAGGTGTGATGGGGTCACTGGTACCTCCTGGAGAGATACTCCAAGGCCGGTGGTACCGAGGCAGCTGTGACCCAGGGGGTTCTCAGAGGACCCCCAGGGATGGTGGAGGCTTCTCCAGGCAGTGACTGAGAGCAGGGCCCTGGGCAGTACTCTGAATTTCTCTGCAGGACTGTTCCTCTCAGGTAGATTTGCTTTGGGGTTGTATTTTGGGAGGGTATCATCACTGATCATCACTTGGGAGAATCAGGCTGTTTATTCCCTGCTTTCTTGACATCTGGTACAGGCAGATTTGTGTCTGAAGCACTGTCACTGAAGAAAGATGTGGGAAAAATCCCTATTTTGTGGTAAATAACAAGGCAAGATCTTAGTGTTGTTTATTGAAGGAAATATTTTGCTGTGTTTGTTTAATAAAGCAATATTGAAATAATGCTAATCTCTTTCCTCAGCTGAAGGGATCAGAGCTGGAAATCACACTGGTCAGAGGTGGGGTGTGTCAGTCTGTTGGCCCAGCCTGTGCCTACGTCAACCTCAAAGTTTGTGTCAACGGGACAGAGCAAGGTAGGAATGAATATCCCCAGCTTGATTTGTCAGGGCTGGTGTAAGGGAAGGGAGAGTTTGGAAAAGGTGAGGTGAATGCTGGAGCCTGAATCCATTTGAAAGATGCTGCAGCCTCCCCTCCAGCAGGAGCTTTAAATAATTCTTGAAAATAAGTTTATTCAGAGCAAAACCATACCTATCCATGATTTCTTTTGAGGGAAACTCTCCTGTGTGCACAGGAGTTGTTATTCCTGCTCCAGGGAGAGTTTGTGTCCGAGTATCTGTGGGGGGTGCACTCTGGATTTGGGGCTGTGCTTGAGAATTTGTAATTCCTGCTGTAGCACTGTGCAGGAGGTGAGGCCTGGATGTGGAGGAGATGGTTTGATAAGCTCAGACAGGAATTACAGGGATTAAAGGAATCCTTAAAAGTAGAAAATAGCCTGACTGTCTTGGGCAATGGACATGAGTGCACAGTGATGTTGTTACAAGGGGGAGTTATATATTAAAAAGAGAGAAAAAAAAATGCACTTGGGGAGTTTTTTTCTTGCATGTATATTGACAGTTTATGTATGGAAATAAGTGTGCCTTGTTGGATGTGGTCACAGAGCTGCTCCCTGGGTGAGAATGAATCCAGCTGGAAGAGCTGATGACCATCTCAAAGGGCACAGTCTGTCAGCTTTTAACCAATATAATACTGGGTTGTGCTTTAGTAACATACAAATGGAACTGCATTGTTAATAAAAACAAACACAACTTCTGCACGATAAATCTGAAGTGCACATCAGTCCATTTCTCTGTTTTCTTTCCCCTTTCCCAGTAAAAAAAACTGGGAAGATGCAGTGTTGCCAGTTTTAAATTGGTTTAGATACTCATTGGAAGTAATTAGCATCATTAGAAAATCATTAGAACTTGGATATTGCTTCCAAACTGCATTTTAATTTCTTAATTTTGGTTTTAGATGGTGTGTTGCTGCTGGAAAATCCAAAAGGAGATAATACCTTGAACTTCACTGGACTTGTAGATGCTGTCTCCTGCATTTTTGGTCTTAAAAATTCCAAACTGACAGTTTTTAATGGAAACACAGGTAAATGGAGTATGACAAGGAAAATTGAAAGTCCTTCTAGCAGCAGCTAGGAGTCATTTACTGTATAATTATTTACTGTGTAATTTATATCTATCTAGCTAGCTAAATCAAATTGACAAGAAAATGGGTAAGGAAATACTCCATTTTATAGTACTTAGCTTATGAAACTGTGTTTATAGTCACATCAACATGTTTCCAGAAGCTGCTGCTAAATGGTGCTCATCTGTTATCTTGCTTCCATTGCGGTTCTCATCAGGACAAAATGTGATTTATTTCAGTGTTTCCACTGGGCCCAGGCTCTGCTGGATCTTGATGGCGAGCTGCCATCAGCCTTCCCATGCTTTCTTTTCCCTAATGCCTCAGTAGGCAGGGTGAGAACTTCAGCTGAATGCAAACTGTAATCTGTAGAAGAAAAATGTTGCCTTTCCACCCTGAAGAACCTTGAGGAGCTCTGCATTTCTTCTTTCTTTATTTTCTTCTTTTTTAGAATGTTTTCGCAGCTTGAACTTTGTTAAGGCACAAGAATGTAAAAAAAACCAAACCAAAACACTATAAAAATGGTAATTGGATGGCTGCAAAACCTTTCATGAGTGATTTTTTCACGGAAATATTACTGAAGCACATCTGAAGGGGAGGTACTTGAATTGGCTGTTTTGGGGTACTCCCAGGGCTGCAGAGGATCACCAGTTAATTTCCAACAGTGACATCCATACAGAAATAGTCTGTGTGTCACTGTTGTCATCTCAGTCCTTAGTTTCCTTACTTGCTCTGTCCTGAGAATATTTCTGGGAGGGTTTTGGGGGTTTCCCATCTGCTGTCATACATTATCACAGCTCACTGTGATAAATCTTCCAGATCATGCTCAGCTGAACAGTCCTGTCATACAAAAGGATTAATCTTTGCTTTCAGTCCAAGGGGATTTAGAGGAAATCCTTTAGTATCTTCCTCATGTTCCAGTTGTGTTTTGAAGGAGGAAATGGTTTTCCTTGAAATCCTTTTCAAGAGTAGGAGGGATAACAGTGTGGTCCGTGCCTGCAGAGGGGGGTCTGTACTTGTATTGTTCATTGTCAACACAGATAATAAGAGATGACCTGCAAAAAGTGCAGAAGAGTTGGGAAACTCCCATCTCACTAGGTTTATAAATAGTTTGACTCAGTATTTGGGGGTTTTCGGTCATTTATAGGATAAAAAGATGCAGCACAAATCCATTAATGCCAAAGTCCTAAAGGAAATGGTGGAGACAGCTGAGACCTTCCCTCTTCCTCTGCTGTAGTAATAAAGGCTTTATTCCTTTCCTTTCCATGTCACTTTTGCTCCTTGAGAATCATTTTGGGACTTCCATCTTGGCATGCTGATTTTCACATTTGAGTCTATGTCAGTGGTCTGGGCAGAGCAGGGTATTTTCCCTGCCCATTTATTAACCATATGGAAATTCCCTTGGAAAGATGAAAGAAAGATTATCAAATTGGCTTTTGTTGCAGTTTGTCACGTCTCAAACAAGATTGGTCAGCAGATGTGGCTCCCTGAGGAGTCACAGTTCAAGGCATGTGCCAGGAAAACCATCCTGAAAGGTGTCAGAGAATCGAACCAGAATTCCAGTGTTTGCTTTGGGTACAATCCATCTGCTTTATCTGCTCAGCCTTGGGGTGGATAACCACAGGTGAGGTCTCCTGGTGACTCCAGGGCCTCTGTAGGTGAGCAGGAGCTGGAATCAGCCACTGTGTCCAAGAGGAATTGCAGAGAAACTTTGTGCACTTCAGACAAGTAATTTCTGAATAGTTCCCACGTGCGTTAATAGCATTGGGACCCAGTAAAACCATATTTCTGGCTCCTAATTCCCTTCCTGTGGTTTCTAGGGCTCTCCACTTTACTTGCAGTAATTTATTATCTTGTTCTCTAATTACAATGAAGGTTTCCTTAGGGTTGTGCCATGGCACAGGATCAGGCAGTTCTTGTATTAAGGGAGGCTCAGATGTGTCCTGTCCCTGCTTTTCAGCGCAGCATTGGAATAATGAGATAAACATTTCCTCCCCAGCAGCATGTTAAGGTATTTTGAGGAACTGTACAATCCCCAAACAAGGCTCTGGGACTTGCACTGACCTTGAGAAACTGAAAATAGAATTAGTCTCTTTCTACATAAACAGAGAACAACAACAACAACAACAAATTCAAAGGGAAGAAGCTGGGCTCAAGTCAGATGGTAAAAAAAGTTGTCTGTGACTTTTTTTCCCCTCTAGATCGCTGAAAAGGCTCAAAACTTCTTGTTTGGGATGCTTGTAGAATTGCCCTCAGTTTTTATGGAAGTAGTTCATATTGAAAAAGATTTATTTAAAGCACCTTCAATATGTTTATGGGAAGAAATGCATCTGTAGATCATGTAGGGCTTAAAAAATAAGGGAGGGGCAAGGAAGGTGGGACAAAAATCCCCCTATAAACTTTTTGAGACATGTCTTATTTCATCTTTATGATTTTCAGATGGCTGATTTTTTAATCTTCTTTTTTTAAAAGGCTGTGAGGTACCTTAGGGGAGAGCATTACAACTTAAACCCCAGCTGCAGGGAGAACTGACTTTTAAAGTGATTTTGATGAGCACTTGTAATACCTGCTTGCCTTCAAGTCTATTGATACATATGAAAAAAGGATCCATTTTTTCTTGCTTTTATGGGAGGTTTCTGTGAACAGACTTCTCTGACAGCGCTATGCCTGAGCTCTTCCCTGGGAAAATGTCAGTGCTCCTGGAGTTCCAAATGCTAATTGTTAATTGGGAAACCCCCATTACTGCATCTCGGGCCTCCTTGCCCTGCATGGCTCCACAGGGATGCTGCCAGCTGAGGAATGGCAAACTGGGAGTTACTGGGGCCAAATATTCCCAGCTCTGTCACCCCCTACTCCCCTGTGCTCTCTCTTCCCGTGACCTGGAATTGCTGCTTTAGGGCTGTGCTGGAAAAAACCTGCCCTGGCTCCTTTCCATTGGATGAAATCTTGGTAATTCATCTCCACTTGTTAATTCACTTGTTTTCTTGCTTTCCTGAAAATAAAACCAAAGGCAAATCCCCTTCCTGTGCTTGAGCATGTGCCTGGCACCTCAGACAGGCCAGATCAGCACTTGGCTTTTGGTTTCTTTTATCTTTAAACCATTACAAATTTATATAAAAATACATAAAAGTTGATATTTAAAATACACATTTCAGAATCATAGGTGCAGCCCGAGATCTTTGTGCTTCCTAGCAGTCTTGGAAATGCTCTCCAGTGCATCCCACTCTGTTCTGTGGCACTTGACAGAATTTTGAGAGCTTGTAGCTTGTGATTGTTGCTCACCTTTTTGTGGGATTAGGGTTTTTTGAGGGTTTGGGGTTTTTTTTTGGGAGCTGGGTGGTTGGTGTAGGGTTTTTTTTATTTGTAAGTTCATAAACCTACAAAATGTATACATGTATAACTTATTCCCATTGAGACTCTTTCAGGTGAACTGATAGAAAATGAGCTTTGTACAGCTTAGGCTCTGTGACATGCAGTAGGGCTGCTGTGGAATGAAAACCTGTTTGCTGGAGCTGACAGGTGTGCCTGTTCCATATGTACAGGAACACACAGTTCTGACAAGAAATTAGATGCATCAGTTCTCCCTGGATTTGATCTCTGGAGCTCTTTGCAGCAGAGAGTGATGTTATTCTTGTGTATCTTGAGTACGATGCCCATCAGTAGCTCTGACCTCAAGGCTCAGGCAGTGCTGTAGAATTAATTTTTGTCACAGAAACCTCATCAGCTTCTCCTCCCAGCGCTTCCAAGGATTGCTTCTGATGTCCTTGGAGACAGGGCTCCTGGTTTGGGTCTGGTCTTCCTCCATTTTCTCCGTCTGCCTGCCTGGAGTCATGTGCTGGATCATGAGCTGTAGTGTCATTACACACAGATACTCATGTAGGGGGCTTTATTCATGAGCCATGACTTGAATTTTTTTGGTTTGTTTTTCCTGGAGTTTAATATATTTAATATTAATAAATATCCTGATGTTGCATAGTAATACATTCCCAGTGCTGCTTTGGCCAGGGGAGTCTGGGTGCAACAAGGATCACGGCTCTTCATGTAATGAGATAGGAATGGTTGGCTTGGGTGAATAATTTCTTGCTTGTTTGAAGCTAGCTAACTGTTTTATTGCATAAGTCACTATGTGCATAAGGAATATTACATAGGAGCTAATTTCCACAGCAAATGAAGCACCCCCTTTGTATTATTATGAAAACCAAATATTTCTATACAAATTCCATTTTCCCAACAGAGAAGCTCTTGAGGACAGGATTGTGAAGGAGGAGGCACTGCTGCAGTGGGGTCAGGAGTGAGACAGCCTCCTTGTCAGCTCCTGGGGGTGGCCTGACTGGTGTCACTTTCTGTTGCAGAGCTGATAAACCAGACAGACCTGCTGGGCCTCAGTGGGAAGACTCTGCAGGTGACAGCAGGGTCAGCCCCTGCCCTGCCCAGCTCCCCCAGTGCCCTGCTCTGTCAGTACATCAACTTGCAGCTGATCAATGCAAAGCCACAAGGTACGTGGGCTGCTCTTTCACAGCCTGGGCTTGCTGTCATGCAAGTGCTGGCCCTTTTCAATTGCTGGTACACAGGTGTAGGTTTTCATCAGTGCATGGTGATTTTCTTTATTTTTTTCTTAGTGTGTACTTACTTATAAAAACAATGTTTATGCTTAGCTTTTCTCCCTCTTCTCCAGAGAAAAAAAGAGAGCCTATTTGAGATAAGGGGCAGCAGTTAAACATGAGTCCCTGGGCATTGTTTCCCTCTTTCTGACCATCAGCTCACCTGTGCAGCTTGTTGTAAAAGGCTGAGTCTAAAACAGATCAAGTTTGAATGAAGAGCCAGCTCTTTACCAGGACATTGGGAAACAGCCTGGGAGACATTTCTTAGTGCTGTTTAAAAACCAGATGAATTGTATTATTCACCTACTCTGGGGTATAAATATATCTGTGTGTAATTCTGTTTCCTACTTGCTAATCTGGCATTCTGAAAGCTCACCTGGGAGCAGCTGGGTTGTTTTAGTAACTTGCTCTTACCCTGTGCCCTGGTATGAGCCCTTTCTGACACTACTGAGAGTTTGCAGGAGCCGAAAATGTGGTTTTTACAAGGGATTTGATCATCTGTAGGTGCTTGGTGAGTTTCTGCACGTAGTGGTTTCTATGTCATGTTGAAATATTTCATGTTTCCCAGACTCTGTGTTATCCTGTTGACCCATGTAAAGAAATTTTCTTCTGTTGGCATTGCTAATTTGTCTCTCAGTACCATGAAGAAATAGAGATGAAATGGAAGAAGAAATCCTAAATTTCAGTTTACCCAGATGAATGAAGTAATTTCATTTCTTACAGTAGTGACTCAGCTGTTTTATCTTGTCCAGAGTGCCAGAAGGGAACAGTGGGAACTCTCCTAATGGAAAACCCTGTTGGTCAGAATGGATTAACCTACAGAGGTCTTCTGCATGAGACAGCAAAAGTTTTTGGGCTCAGAAGCAGAAGGCTGAAGTTGTTCCTGGATGAAGCACTAACTCAAGGTAAGCACAAACCTTTGGATTGCTCATCTGAGGATCCTTGGAATTTATTGTTGAGGAGCAGCTCATGTAACCTGAGATCCAGTTTAATTACTAAATCCATACTGTTCACACACTGGTTTGTAATTTTGCCCAGTAATTCAATATTAGCATAATAAAATCCTTTAAGCAAACACATAGATGTAGAAATTCTAAGCTGTAGTGCATTCCCTTCATGAAATGGCCAAGGCAAGTTGTATAAAAGCTTTTTCCTTCTGCAGTAAAGCTCAGTCAGCAGCAGGAATGGCAACATCCTGCTGAATGACTGAACAGTGAATCCCCTCCTGGAAGTGAGTCTACAGGAGGAATATTTAAAGAATCTGGTCAAACTTTTAACATTCATATTGTTGCATTGTCTTGAAGAGTTGGAGTGGGTGGAAAAGAGTGTTGGATCTCTGGTAGAGCGGTGTGGGTAGGTCAGACTCAGTAGGGCAGAGCGGTTTGGGGTACCTGGGAAGCAGGAAGCTTCAGCACATGCTCACAGGTCTGAAATGCTACAGAACCCCCCAAAACCACTGAGAGATGGTGGTCAAAAATCTCTGATTCATGAGAAAGGTGTGACTGAAGCTGGAGCCACCTGTGGTGCTGAAAAATTGGACCAGAGTGATTTGGGTCTTCATTTGACAAAGAGAACAGATTGGAAACTACATGGTAAAAACCCAAACAACTCCAAACAGGGATTCCTGTATTCAGGAGAATTCAGCTCTGAATGAAACAATGCCAAGGGTTCTGTCTGCAGTGTGTCACAGTGATGTGGTTTACGAGCTGTTTGGGAGGGATCCATGACATTTATTGGTTTATCACACATGACCTATCCAGAAGTTGGACATCCTGCTCAAACTGCCCATCTCAGGGTGGGCTGAGCTCCCTCAGGAGGTGCTGTCAGTGTGGGAGGGCAGGAGGGGCAGCTCTAGTGCAGCTGCTGAGAGCTGGGTTCACTCAGGTATCCAGAGGATTCAGGTGGAATAGGTTGGAATCTGAGCAAGGAAGGGTGGGGGGGTTTTTTGCTGCGTTTTTTTGGCTGTTTGGGCGTTTTTTATTTCATATGACCTGAAGTGCGTGTATTCAAAAGCCATTTTTGTAACTCAGATGGATCTCAGATGCTGATGAAACTTTCTGGTGATAGTTTGGGCAAATACCAGAAATACTGTGCTGAGTGGTGTTAACAGAGAACTGGAGCCTGGAGTGTTTCAGCACGAGGGGTAAAAACCTAGAAGATGAACCACACTTGGCTTGTATAAACTAAAAGGTTATTCTGCCCACCTGGGCATTCAGGCATTCAGGAGCAAGGGATGTTAGGCACAGTTCCTCTTTGATTCCTGTCACTGATACAGCACCAGATGATTCTGTTTGGACACTGAAATAACCACTATGGGAAACTGCAGAGCTTTGAAAGAGGCAAGAAGCTCTCAGGACAGGAAGATGTACAGGCAGAACAGCCTTTAAAGCTCAGTTGAAGTGAAGAGTTTTAAAATGCCTTCACTTGAAAGGGGAATGGGTTAAATCACTGTAACATTTGTAGTATGGATTCTCTAGAACTGTTTAGAACTTTAATTAAAGTGTATGAAGTGACAGTTGACAGTGATGTGAAAGATCAGGTTTGATAAGTCCTCCAGGGCCAAAGCAACTGATTTGGTCTCTTTTAAACTCAGAACAGAGCTTGGTCCTAGAGGTTTAGTTTTGCAGCTAATGCCTTGTAGCCACACTTCTGCTATCTCAGATTTAATTTTCAGCATTACATTTTATAAGTTTAAACACTGGCATAGCTGTATTTTATCTTCACATCTCTTTTTTGTATGATAAATAAGTGCTGCATATAAAAACACTTTGATGCCTCTAGAAAACATTAGGTCAATTAATGTTTATCTATATTGTTGCAGCTTTGTAATTCCCTATTCATCTTGTGATCAATCTGTTCAAGGTCTTACCTTCAGAACAAAGTTTAGTCTCTTGAGTAGGTTTTTTGTGGTTTATTCTAAAAATAAAAATGTACTTCCTGTTAACTGTTTGAAACATTTGATGAAAATAACCCATGAATTGGAAGGTTGGTGCCCGTTCTATAAAAAGGAAAAACAATCACTTGGTGGAAAATGAGTTATTGGTTTTGAAAAGGTTATTTTTGTAAATGTTTTCAGTCCAGGCAGCTGGGCATCTGCTGTCTGTTGCACAGAAACTCACCAGCTTTTCAGAAACAAATGTGGTTTTCACTCCTCCTTTGTAATGTTGGAAAACACTCCAAAAATAAATGTTCAAGTGGTGAGTGTTGCTTATTCCTGAGCTAGAGAAACACAGGTTCCAGGTACCTGATTGATCCACTCTGGGGATGATGGGCACACTTCATGTGCTTCCCTGCAAAGCCCTTCTATGGAGCAATTGGCACAGAAAGGAGGGTGTCCCTACAGTCCACTGATAAATCAAATTTCCAGATTTGAAACTAATTATTGTCATAAATACTTTTGGAAATAGGTTCATGTACGTTCCTCATTTTTCAGGATCTTAAAAATAAATATTTAATGGGAGACTTGGAGACCCAAGTTGACAGTTTGTGTGGCTGCTTCTGCAGACCATGCTTTTTTACATCCTGGTAGAACATGTTCCTGGGAAGGAAGGTTAGTGAGGGAATAAAGCCCCAGTTGCTGAATTGGATTATAGCTCCACTCTTCTAGCTCTGTGGATGGATATTGAGTTGTTTAAGGAGGAGTATTGCAATGACTCCTGGAGAACACTGTGATCCATGAAGACTTCTCAGTTCTCTAATTAACAAATGGCTTTCAAAATCAGTGCAGATTCTGTGTGTTTAGTCTAAAAAATGAAATACTTTTGGGGCAGGACACTGCCAAAGGGTTCCTCCTGAAAACTCCCAGCCAGTCTGGGTGTTATTAATGTGTCCTTTGTGCTATCCCTGGTGCCAGATCCTCGCATTATTTTGTATTTGCTCGGATTGTCTGCCGGGGTTCCAGGATAGACAGTGACAGTGTGACTCCAATCCTTGTTAATCTGAATTTCACCAGTATTCCTGTGCTTCCACCTGCCAAGTTTCTTACCACTCTGAACTTTCTTAGTGAAGAGGCCTTGGGGGTGTTTGTTACTGGGGTGACTTTTGTTCCAAGGCTGTACCTCCCAGTTTTCCAAACACTCTGCTCTCAGTGGGCAGTTTGCTACAGCTGATGGGTGCTGGAAGTCAGCAAGCACCAGGCTTCTTGGGAAAAAATTCATATTTCACAATGTAATAGTGAAAGATTTCCAGCTCCTGCAAGCTTTGCGGGTGACTTTCCTTAGACACACATGGGATTACTCTGTGTTTCTTGAGTAATTACAACCCTGAGTCAGCCTGTTGGAAGTGTGCTCTGTCCTTCAGAGGTTTGTTGGGACTTTATCCTGTTCCAAACTCTGTGCAGGTAGCTCTGAGAAGATATAGGGAATTACCCTGTATGGTAAGAAATTCTTCAGGCATACTCAGCAAGATTCCAGCAGTAGTTTTTCAGCAGGTACTGGTACAGTCTTTGCTTTACATATAAACTGTTTATGAGGGACTCTGGCTTTCAGTGCATTGTGTTGTGCTGTTCCTATTGACTTCATATCATGGTGTTAGAGTTTTGTGAACTAGGTGCTGCTCTGTCAGGGTGTGAAGGTGAGAGCTGGGGGCTGATGCAGACTTTCAAAAAGTTCTACTTTGGAAGATAAAGCACGCTCTCCTGCTCTTGCAGGGACACTCCTGACACGTGGTGACCCTTCCTTTCCTAGGCTTTTAACAGAAGGGAATTTCAAGCTGAGCAGTTTCCATCCCAGTCCTGCTCTGGTGGAACCAGCAAAAATGTCTGAATAAAGCAAATTTTAAAAAAAAAAGAAAAATGTTGATAGTTTTGGTAAACAAGAGCACTAACTGTTTTTTCTCTCTCCTTTCCTTCATCCAGAGATCACAAAGGATGTTTCTATGAAGAACCTGAATACGAAGACCCTCTATGTTCATGTCATACCCACCACAGCTGAATGTTGAGAATTCCAGATCTATGATCATCTAGACTTTTTTCCACAAAAAAGGAAGTCAGAGGAAATTGTTACGCTTTTAGTTGAACATCCAAGTTGTGTATGGTACTTTTAACATCTCTAGTGGCACACAGGATGTTTTCTACCAGTGCATGTCTAATATGCTGCTCTTTGGTTTCAAATACAATGTATTTTCATTCTGTTATCTTAATACGCTGTAAAAGCTGTTCAGAAACCTTAGATATCTATGCATATAATTTACCTGAGAGAAATGGGACTTGTACCTCAGTGATGCTGTTCTCTGCCTGTCATTTGTGCAGAGGACATCTTTTCTAAACCATGAAAACTTGTTACCTTCAAGGCTCTCTGATATATATTCACCATCCCACAACAGCTTTGTAACTTATTTAAGGGTTATCCGGGTTTGTTCATTTGTACTAGCTGGGTTTTCATCAAGTGTGTGGCTGTTAATTTCAAATGCTCCCTGATTTCAACACTTGGAACAATAAATTTGCTTCATCTCTAGACTCTTGCTTCCCTGAGTTCAGAGTACTTTGCTTCCTTAGGATTTCTGAAGAAGACTCCTCTAAGAGCTCTGTATGGATCAGAGGCAGCCAGAGACACCTGGGATGTGACAATGCTGGACACCAGTGGCTCTTTGGGTTGTGGTGCTGACAGGTTTGGGGGTTTGGTTTGTTCAGAGGCTTGGGGGAGAGTTGTTCTGATGCAGAGCCAGTTTCAGACTGAAAATAGTTGGGCTTTTAATTGTTGTAATAAATACCCAATACGGCTTGTCAGTGTTTCAGTGTTCACTCGTGTACCTGCCAGCAGGGGAAGTAACAGCCCACCTTTGGCAGTGCTGGGGGTGTTTTTGCCTGGTTCAGCTGGGGATTTAAGCACATCTGGGTGTTCTGCACCTCCCTGGGGCTCAGTCAGTGTGAGCCTTGGCTGTCCTCACCCTGTGCTGGGCAGGAGGTGCTGCTGAGAACAACGGGACACACTCTGCAAACAGGGAACAGTGGAGCAACAGCCTGGCAGAACAGAGACTTGCTGAGCATGTTTTTCCATTCCTCTGTGTTTTTCATCTTTACACTATGAGCAAAACCCAAAGCTTGCTCCTGATAACTCTGTATTAGTTGGAATA